ATGGCGCTCGGTGGATTCGGCATGGCCTTCAAATCGTCCAGCTGGGATTTCCTATCGACTTCACCGCCGTTTTCGCCGCATCAACTGCCGGCTCGACCCGCTCCAGATTCTCCTGCGCCTCCCTCCGGTGCCTCTCCACACTCTTTGCCTGCTCGTCCAACCTCGCAATCAGCCCCGAGTTCCTTCCTCTGGCTCTCCGGGCCTTACCTTACCGGGCAGCCACGGGCCTTACACACACACATAGACAGAACCACTCACCAGTTTAATTGCGCTCGGTGGATTCGGCATGGCCTTCAAATCGTCCAGCTGCGACTTTCTAATCGACTTCACTGCAGTTTTCGCCGCATCAACCGCCGCTCTACCCTTTCCAGATTCTCCTGCGCCTCCCTCCTATGCCTCTCCACACTCCTTGCCTGCTCGTCCAACCTCGCAATCAGCCCCTGGGCTTCCTTCCTCTGCCTCTCCCCTAGCGCTTGCTCAGCCGCAATCTGCTGTAACTTCCCGTTCGCAGCAGACTCTTTCACTTGGAGCTCCTTCGATTTGAGTTCTAAGTGTTTTCGGAGGAGTACTACGCGGTGCTCTGCGGCTGTGACTTTTGTGAGGCCCAGGGAGAGGTGCTGGAAGGTGCGGTGTGCGCGGGCGGTGCGAGTGGGAGACGGAGGAGTGGAAGTGGGTGAGGAGGTCTGAGAAGGAGCGGAGGGAGATGAGAGAGTCTGGGAGAAGGAATGCTGCAAGCTCCCCTCCTGCTGCTGCTCCCCCTCCCAGCCCAGCCTTCCCAAAAGCTCTGTTATTGAGCGACTCGCTAACAGCACTAACAGCGCAGCCATGAATTGCCACCAGAACCTCCGCCAGCAGCTGCCTCTCCTTCGCTTCCCCAGCCCCACCAGCAGCACCACCCGCAGAATCAGCCGGCATATCAATCTGCTTGGAGTCTCCTCTTCCTCCTGCCCCTCCTGCTCCTCCTCCTACTCCTCCTCCTGCTCCTCCTGCTGCTGCAGCAGCTGCGGCCGAGACAGGGTGAACCAGCGAAACACCGGCGAGGCGACTCTGAGCAAGCGGAGCAAGCCCCGTGTCCCCCCAGGGCGGCAGCCAGAGCACAGTGCAGCGGTTGAAGAGAGCCGGGGACGCCAGCATGCTCTGGCGCATGTGCGCGCTGCCCTGGCTGGTCATCGTCAGCACCACGTGCAGGTCCCCTTGGATCCTCCTCCTGAACCCTGCCATGCTGCCTCCTCGCTTCCCTCTCCCTCCCCTCGCTGCCGGAGGATGGAGCTCTTCAAGCAGCTCCTGCAGGGAAAGAGGGGTTCAGAGAGGGATTCAGCAGAGGGTTCAGAGTCCAGGTTCAGGATTTAGGGTTTCGGGTTTGGGGTCCGGCTGGCCTTTTATGCTTCTACTGTACAGACACCCGATTCCACCTGCTGCGTGAGGTGAGGGTGTTTTTGAGACGTCTCAAAAACACCCTCACCTCTCGGGTTGGGGGTCCGGCTGGCCTTACTATGCTTCTACTGTACAGACACCCTTTTGAGTCGACTCAAAAGCGTTTTTGAGTCGACTCAAAACACTCTCACCTCTCAGGTTTGGGGTCCGGCTGGCCTTACTATGCTTCTACTGTACAGACATCCGACCCCCCCTCTCACCTGCTGCTTTTCCGCTCCAAACAGCCCGAGAACGACACACACCCCCACCTCTTTCCTCCCCCCCCCCCCCCCCCCCTCCCCCTCCCCATGAGAAGCGAGTTGAACCTCTCCAGAACAGAGCTCTTCACCAGAAGCACTGCTCATCCAGATGCGCTGCTTGGCATCTTCTGAATGAACTCAAGTCTGTTGGCTGTATGGTACCACCATCACCCGACCCCCCCCTCTCACCTGCTGCTTTTCCGCTCCAAACAGCCCAGAACGTCCCCCCCCGTGAGAAGCGAGTTGAGCCTTTCCAAGACAGCGCTCTCCACCAGATGCGCCTCCTCCAGAACAAGACAAACGCGCCGCCCGTCGCACCCCGCCGCCCGCAGCGCCTCCTCCAGCGGGCCGTCCAGCTCGCGCTCCTCGAATCCCCGCGTGCAGCGCCACCCGCACCTCCACCAATCCCGTCGCAGCGATTGCGGATCTGCAGGCATGTGATTGGCCAGCAAGGGTTATGAGGAGGAGAGGAGAGGGATGCATTTAGGGTTCAATGTTGGAGCCACAGAAGCACCTCGGATCCTGCGTGCAGCGCCACCCGCAGCTCTACCAATCCCGTCGCAGCAATCGCACATCTGCATGCAGAATTGGGAAGGCACCGTGGGTAAGTGGAGAGGGCAACCAAGGAAGCACATGGAGGGAACGCCACCCGCCCCTCCTCCAATCCCATCACAGCGATCACACACACACACAAGCAAACAGGAATGACTTTTGAGGCGCCTCAAAAGGAAGCACATGGAGGGAGTGCCGTGCCACCTGCCCCTCCTCCAATTCCCATCACAGCGATTACACACACACAAGCAAACAGAAATACTTCACACCCACCTGGCAACAGTAGACTTTCCAGTGGCAGGAGGGCCAAGCAGCAGCAGTTGCCCCATGGGCTGCTGCAGCAACGATGCCGCCCTCACCATCGCACACACAAACTCATGCACATACACTCAATCAGTAAGCTCTAACTTCTAAAATGAACACTAGACCCAAACCATCCTTAAACCCAAACCCCAAACCCACCTGGCAATGGTTGATTTCCCGGTCGCAGGAGGACCAAGCAGCAGCAGATGCCCCATGGGCTGCTGCAGCACCGATGCCGCCCTCACCACCGCACACACAGACCCTAACTCTCACACACACACCCTCTCTCAAACAGATGCTTCACACCCACCTGGCAACGGTCGATTTCCCAGTTGCAGGAGGACCCAGCAGCAGCAAATGCCCCATGGGCTGCTGCAGCACCGATGCTGCCCTCACCACCGCACACACAAACTCATCAGTCAATACCACCTCCCCTGCTTGCACCTCCACTGCATCCTCCTCCCCCTTCTCCACTCACAGTTCTTCCGATTCTTCCAATACTCTCCTCCCAGTTTCCTCCTCCATCTCTCCTGCCCTGCTGCTTGACGCCCGCTTTCCTGCTCCTCCTCTCCTGTCCCCGGCCTTTTCTGCTGCCCCAGCACCTGAAGAAACACCTGGTTTCACCTGGCCGGCACCTGCCCCTCCTGCGGCATCCGGGGCCTCCCCTGTCAGGACCACTTCAGGTGCTTTTTCAGGTGGTTCACCGCGCACCGGCTTGTACCGCCCCGTCAGAAGCGACGAAAACACCAACCGGCTCGGGTCGGCAGGTAGCGAGAAAGGCACAGCAGGAGCACCATCAGAAACTCCATCAGCAACAGCTACAGGATTCCCTGTACTCGTTACAAGAGTGTTCCCTACAAGAGGCACGAGCAATCGGGAGTATCTTTTCTGTTGCCACCCGCAGCAGCAGCTTCGCCGTCCACTGCCTCTCCTCCTCCCTCACCAGCCTATCATACCAGATGCGCATTCCCTCATGCAGCCATGACAGGACAAGCCTTGCCGCCCAGTTGCCCTCCCCATCACCACCGATGATAGCCGCACCGCCAACGCCTGTATGTGCACTTGTTGCTCCAACCAGCCCCACACCACCACCCAATCTCGCACCACCAGCACCCATACGCCCCTTACCACTCTTCCCACTCACTCCACCCTTTTCAACCCCTCTCAACCGCCCCCTTCTCCCCCCTCTCGTCCCCGTCTCCCTTTCCACCCCTCTGAACCCCTTTCTGCCCATGCACCAGGGCGAATCGGATGCCTCTAGTCCATCTGGTAAGCTCCCTAGGACTGCACACGTAGTGCTGCTGCACTGCCCGAGTGAACCTCACCCCACACTCCTCATACACCTCCACCATCGCCGCTGCCAGGCACGCGCCCACCTGAGAAACCACCTGAGAATCCACCTGAGAAACCACCTGAGGATTCCCCCGCGCCTCCACTGCCACCCCAGGCCAGTTCCGGGCCAATATCCCCCTTATAAACGTGCTGTATATTCTCGTAAGAGCCGCGCCGGACGGAAACGGAACATGAGCAACAGTGAGATGCCTGGTCAGGCGTACAGGCAGTTCATGCCTGCCCACGTCTGAAGCCGGATTGCAAGTGGCTGCAAATGACACCCGCCTCAGTTGCACCCAAACGGCGCCTCTTGGGGTGCCAGAACCCATACGCATACCCACCGCTCCCTCCACTGCTGCTGCTACTACCACTGCCAGCACCACCACCACCACCACCACTGCCAACGTTATTGCTGCTTCTGCCGTGCGTATCGCCATTCCTGCTGCTTTCCCCACTACCCGCCGCCCACCCCGCCCGCCGCCTGCGGAATCAGCTGCGGCTCCGCTAGCTGCCGAGCAGGCCGGCCATGCGGATGGTGCCAAAAGCGTCAGGGGCGGGAGATTCACCTCATCTAACAATAGCAGCAGACGGCCGTCCGCTGGTACTGGGTCCTTAGGCTCCAGCGCCCAGTTAACACTGGAAGTGGCGGCTGCTGCTGCCACTGCTGATGCTGATGTCGAAACCACTCCTGCTGCTGCTGCTGCTGCTGCTGCTGCTGCTGCTGTTTCGTGTGACCCACCAGCAGCACCAACACCAACACCGGCAGCAGCAGCAGCAGCACCAGAAGCACCACCAACACCAACACCAGCACCACGAGCACCACCAGCAGGGAGCTTGACGTAGCGGCAGTGCTGCTCCAGCTCAGCGATAAACGACTCGGGAGACGTCGACAGTGACAAATTGAAAGCTGCCACGTGGAGCTTTGGCCCTGCCACTGCCGCCACCTCGGCCTCTGCCGATTGCTTGCTCCCTTCTTGCTGCTTCTGCGAAAGCTTCTCCTTTCGCTGCTGCGTCCCCATTCCAACCCCACCACCAGCACCACCAACACCAGCACTACCAGCACTGCCAGCACCAGCACCACCAGCAGCGCCAGCTGCAGCAGCAGCGGCGGCAGCAGCAGCCTGTGCCTCGTCAGCGCCAGCAGTAGCCAATGCCTGCGCGACAGCTGTCAGCGCGAGAGTCTTCCCACTCCCAGGTGGGCCACAGAGCAGGATGGGCTGTGATTGGGCGAGACTGGCCCCTGATCACCGCACCCAACCGCTCTGTCTCTGCTGTGGGGATAACCGTGGTTGAGTCTACTCCTCCCCCTCCTGCTCCTGCCACTACTCCTGCACCTGCTGCTCCTGTTGCTGCTCCTGCTCCTCCTGCTCCTCTTACCCCTCCTGATCCTCCCCTTCCTTCTCTTCCTGCCTTTCCAGCTGCACCCTTCGCCTGTCTACCAACCTGCTTTGTAACACCCATACTGCCATTGCTCCGACCAGACACAGAATTACTCCTTCTGTAGCTCATACTCCTCTCCTCTTCCTCCTCACTTCCCTCCTCTCCCTCTTCCACCTCCTCCTCATCCCCGAAGCACCCCCCAACAGCAGCATCAGCATCAGCCAATCCAGGCAGAGCCGCCTCCCACGGCTTCCAATGGCCGCTCGCCACGTCAGCGAAACAGCTCAGCAGCTGCTCTGACGTGGCACGGCATGCCACCTCATCTTTTCCCCCACCTTCAGACGCCAAAACACAAGCTAATCGGTCTGCAAAGGCAGAGCGAGAGGTAGCATCCATTCCCCCTGCAACCCCTGCCATGATTGCCTCTACCATTGCTTTCCTGGTAAATCTCCCCACCACCGCAATAGACCGATTCGCACCTCCCTTCACCCCTCCCCCACCGCTCCGCACACCAGCCGTTTCAAGCGCATCATTCTTCGGAGTGGCTTGGGAAGCGGAGGTTCGGCAGAGGTCCGAGGTTCGGTAGCAATAGTACAAGAACACCGAGCGAAGGGCACGCATGGAATCAAAGGGAATGGAATCTGCCTCGGCCGAACCTGCAGCTGTAACGGCTGTAGCACAGGCAGCGCTGGCAGCATTGGCACCAGTAGCACCAGTACCAGCGCCACTGACACCAGCAGCAGCCTCTAGAGCCTGCTGCAGCAGCCCGCCCGGCTGTAGCGCCGCCAGCGCCACAGCCAGCACCGGCTGTAGCAGCGGCTGTGGCAGGCCAGGCGGCAGCAGCTCCAGATGCTCGTCTGGCGCGTCAATCCCGAGGGAGAGGCGCGAGGGGAGGGAAGAGAGGCGCGGAGAAGAGTGAGGAGGTGAGGGAGGAGTGGGAGGAGTGGGAGGAGAGGTAGGAGTGGGAGGAGTGGGAGGAGTGGGACGAAGAGAGAGTAGTGGTGGTGGTGGTAGCGGGGGTAGCTGGTGCAGGTGTTGTTGTGGTGGAGAGAGAGGGAGGGAGAGGGGAAAGAGATGAAGAGGACGGGGAGGAGGAGGGTGGGGGGAAGGGCAATGGGGGGGAGGAGGAAGCGGAAGCGGTGGAGGAGCATGGGGAGGGAGAGGAGGGAGTGGGGGAAGCAGACCACTCCGAGACGAGAGATGGTGGCGGGAGTGGCGTGAGCGAGAGAGGGGCATTCGAAGATGCAGTGCATGTGGGGGAGGAGGGGCAGGCGTTCTCCTGTGGGTAGAGTCATGACCTGATGGGTGGCAGGGGAGGGCAGACGGGGTGGGGAGCGTGGGAGAGGGGGGCAGAATGCAGAGTGTTGTGGGTGAGATGGAGGGGCACTCGAATATGCAGTGCATGTGAGGGCTCTCCTGTGGGTAGAGTCATAACCTGAATGTAAAGGGGAGGGGAGGGGCGCAGAGGGGTATAGTGGCGTGGCCAAAAGAGGGGCATTCGCATATGCAGTCCATGTGGGGGAGGAGCGAGAGGCGTTCGCCTGTAGGCAGGCAGAGTCATGACAGTTCAGCCTCGCCCTACTCCACCCTTGCCTCACCGTACCCCACCCTTGCCTCACCCTACCCCACCCTTGCCTCACCCTACCCCACCCTTGCCTCACCCTACCCCACCCTTGCCTCACCCTACCCCACCCTTGCCAAGTTCGCATATGCTGTCTCACCTTATTGTCATCCAGCAGCGAGTTGAGCGTCTCAATCCAAATAAGGTCCACCTCGCCATCAAACACAAACCAGTACCATTACTGCCTCCTAACCAATCCTTGTGTCACCCCTCCCCCTGTTATCCCTTCACGCCTACCCGCTCTGTGCATCATTCCCACATTGCCCACCTTATTGTCATCCAGCAGCGAGTTGAGTGTCTCAATCCAAATGGGGTCCACCTCCCCATCAAACACAAACCAGTGCCGCCGCCTCCCCTTATCTTCCCTCCTTGTGTCGCCCCTCCCTGCATTGCCCTTTCATGCAGCCCAAGGCAATGGGTACGCCCTCTCACCTTGTTATCATCCAGCAGTGAGTTGAGAGTCTCTATCCAAATGGGGTCCACCTCCCCATCAAACACAAACCAGTGCCGCCGCCGCCACTCCACGCCCCTCCCCGCATTCCCTCCTGTTCTTTGCCGCATCTCCCCTCCTCCATCGCCCTCATCCCCTTCCCCTTCCATCCCTTCCCTCCTCTCCCTATCGCCCTCCGTTTCCTCTTCTTCCACCCCCTCCGCCACCCCATCTCTCCCTGTCTCCCGCTCCCTCTCCTCCTCATACTCTCGCACGACGGCCCTTAAAGCCCGGGTGAACACGCCGTCCTGCCACTCCCGCGTGGTGGCTTCCACGCTCCCAAACAGCGCCTCCTTGGACAGACTCTTGGGATCCACCACTGTCACGGACACCTGCACGCCTTGCGATGTCTGTAAGGCCTCACGCAGCACTGCAGACAGGGGTGAAAGGGTAGGAAGGGGAGGAAGAGAAGAGGGTAGGGAGGGGGTAGAGAGTAGAGGCTTGGGTGAACACGCCGTCCTGCCACTCCACTCCCGCGTGGTGGCTTCCACGCTCCCAAACAGCGCCTCCTTGGACAGACTCTTGGGATCCACCACTGTCACGGATACTTGCACGCCTTGCGATGCCTCCAAGGCCTTGCGCAGCACTGCAAGAAGGGGAGGCGGGAATGGGAGCGACAGACTCTTAGGATCCACCACTGTCACCGACACCTGCGACCCTTTCGTTGCCTCCAGGGCCTTGTGCAGCACTGGAGGCGGGGAGGAGAGAATGGGGGAGAAGAAGGAGAGGGTGGTTGCCTCAACGCCCCCAAAGAGCGCCTGCTTGGGAGAGGGTGGTGCCTTGGACAGACTCTCTGGGATCCACCACTGTCACAGACACCCCTTTCCGCTCATCCCCGCAACATCATCACCCATCTCCATGCTTCTTCACCGCTCCTCACCTCTCCAAGCAGTGGTCTTCCCAGAAGGCGGCCCCACCAGCATGATCCCCTGATGCAGCCCCATCAGCCTCACCACCAGCCTCGCCATCACCATCCCTCCTCATCCCTTTCTACCCATCCTCAACCTATTATTCCCCTACCTAACCCACCTTCATCCCGCATCACCGCTCTTCACCCATCCTCACCTCTCCAAGCAGTGGTCTTCCCAGCAGGCGGCCCCACCAGCATGATCCCCTAATGCAGACCCATCCCTCTCGTCCTCACGTCTCATCATCCCTCCTCACCCCTTACCACCCATCGCCGTCCCATCATCACCCCTCCCAACCCATCTCCACCCATCTTCACCCCTTCTCACCTCTCCAGGCCGTGGTCTTCCCAGCAGGCGGCCCCACCAGCATGATCCCCTGATGCAGCCCCCATCAACCTCGCCATCTGCAGCACCTTCCTCGTCCAATCACAGCTCGCCACGTACCCCTCCCTCTCACACACCACCTCCACCGCCGCTGTCAGCTCAGCGTCGCCCATCTCCTCCACAGCCACGTCCGGAAGGTTCCGGGAAACCACCTCCCGGAAGGTTGCCACGTCAGCAGGTGCCAGCTTGGCTGCCAGCTGGCCGAAAATGCCCTGGACTAGGGATCGGGACTCCAACGGCCATCTCGACACACGGTGGGCCTCTTCGTCCTCTTCCTCCTCCTCCTCTTCCTCCTCTTCCGCCCCTACCTCCTCCTTTACCTCCTCTACTATGTCCTCCTCTCCGTCCCCTTCTCCCTCCTCTGTTTCTTCCACCTGCAACACCTCCTCTCTCACCTCCGGCTCCTCCCCTTCCTCCTCCTCCTCCTCCTTCTCCTCCTCCTCCTCCTCCTCCTCCTCCTCCCCCCTCTTCCTGCCTCCCCTCCTCCTTCCCCTCTTCATCCCCCCCTTGCTCCCCATCCTCTGCCTCGTAAAACTCCTCTTTCTCCTCTGATCTCACACTCCCCCCCTCCTCCTCTTCCACACATCCCTCCTCCCTACCCTCCTCACCCTTCACCTCCATCTCTCTCTCACACACCTCCTCCATACCACTTTCCCTCCTTTCCTTTTCCCCTCAATCGCACCCCCTTCCACCACCTCGCTCATCCCCTTGCTCTCATTCTCACTCGCACCTTCTTCCACTTCCTCTTTCCTCTCCTTACCCTCATTCTCACTCGCACCCCCCTCCAATTCTGTCTGCGCCAGCATAACAGACCTAGCAGATTTCAGAGCTGCTTTGAGCGCTCTCAGACTGAAATCGTACTGAGGCTGGGGGTCCAAGCATTCCTCAGACTCCTGCGGGGCAAGGTAGACAAGAGGGATGACGAGGAAGGAGCGAAATGAGAGAGTGAGAGAAGATCTCAGAGCTGCTTTGAGCGCTCTCTGACTGAAGTCGTACTGAGGCTGGGGGGCCAAGCACTGCTCGGACTCCTGGAGGAAGAAAAAAAAGGTGTGGGCGGGATGAAGAAGAGTTTCAAGGGGAAACAAGTATGGGGGAGTCAAGAGTGTCTTTAAGCGCTCTGAGGCTGAAGTCGTACTGGGGTGGGGGGTCCAAGCACTGCTCTGACCGCTGGAGACAGAAAGGGCAGGCCAAGGGGACGAGTAGGGAGGAAGGGAATGAGTGTGGCCTAGCAGATTCAAGAGTGGCTTTGAGCGCTCTGAGGCTGAAGTCGTACTGGGGTTGGGGGGCCAAGCACTGCTCTGACTGCTGGAAAAGGAACTGGCAACCACAGAGGACCAGGAGGAAGGAAATGGGGGCGAAGCATGGACACACAACCACCAGCACCAGCACCAGCACCAGCACGAGCACGAGCACGAGCACGAGCACGAGCACGAGCACCAGCACGAGCACCAGCACCAGCACCAGCATGAGCACGAGCACGAGCACGAGCACCAGCACCAGCCATACCTGGAGGATGCGAGTTGCAGCATCAGCCAGCCTCTCCGCATGCGAATACCCGCACGACAGCGGAGTCACATGGGCGATGGCGCATGCATCACAAGAGGGAGACTCTGAATGTATGAGTGCGTTCATGTGCTTGTCAGAGTGCGTGTACTTGTGCATTCACACACTCCTGGAAGATTCGAGTGGCAGAATCAGCCAGCCTTTCAGCATGCGAGAATCCACACGACATCAGAGTCACACGGGTGATGGCGCATGCACCAGGGATGTTCACTTTCTGTGCATTCCTGTGTTTGTACATGTGTATGCACACACCCACACGAGCCATACCTGGAATATGCGGGTGGCAGCGTCAGCCAGCCTCTCCGCATGCGAGAACCCACACGACAGCAGAGTCACATGGGCGATGGCGCATGCATCAGGGACGGCGACTGTCAGAGGACGCAGGAGGGCGGACAGGCTCTCAGGCAGATGGTCCCTGCCTGCATAGCGCGGGTTGAGCGTCACGAATATACCTGGGAGGGAGTAAGAGATGAGGAAGGGAAAGGGACAGTAGGGTGAGAGGCAGTTGTGGGGTGACTCGAAGGTCAGCTGTCAGTCTCTCGGGCAGGTGGTCCCTGCCTGCATAGCGCGGGTTGAGCGTCACGAATATGCCTGGGAACGGGGAGACAGATGCAGGAGGGGGAGGGAAAGGGGGTGGGTTAGGAGGGAAGAAGGTGCATGAGGGGTGGCGACTGTGAGAGGGCGCAGCAGACAGATGGTCCCTGCCTGCATAGCGCGGGTTGAGCGTCACGAATATGCCTGCCTGGGAGAGGGGGAGGCAGTGACAGGTGGGGGAGGGATAGTGGGTGGGTGGGGAGGCAAGGGAAAGGGGTCAGGGGTGCTGATGGTGACAAGTCGCAGCAGAGCAGACAGGCTCTCAGGCAGGTGGTCCCTGCCTGCATAGCGCGGGTTGAGCGTCACGAATATGCCTGGGAGGGAGATGAAGGGAGGGGGTGGAGAATGGTGCGTATGGGTTAGTGACGGAAAGGGCATGGTCCCTGCCTGCATAGCGCGGGTTGAGCGTCACGAATATGCCTGGGAGGGAGTCGAAAAGGCGCGAGCGAGTAAGGGAATGGGGTAAAGTGGAAGGATGAGTGCAAATCGCCACAGTCTCACAGAGCACACACAGCAGTCCACACACAACAGCAGAAGAATATCCGCGCACTCACCAGTGGCAGGGTGCACGAGCACAGCAGTCCCAGCCAGCACCGCCTCCCTCCTGCCTTCCCTCATCCAAGCACACATCACAGCACACATCACAGCACACATCACAGCACACATCACAGCACACATCACAGCACACATCACAGCACACATCACAGCACACATCACAGCACACATCACAGCACACATCACAGCACACACATGGCATCATAGAGCAACAACAACCAAGGAACAACACCCCACACCCACTCACCAGTAGCAGGGTGCACACACACACACATACACCCACCCACCCACGCCCACCCACCAGTAGCACGGTGCACGGGCACGGCAGTCCCTCCCTCAGCGCGCACTGAATCGCCACCAGATGTTGTGAGATAGCCGACATTGTACACTCGTCCAACCTGTTCCACTCATCCATGCACCCCGACCCTGTTCCCCCCATCCCCCCACACCCACTCACCAGTGGCAGGGTGCACACACACACACCCACCCACACCCACTCACCAGTGGCAGGGTGCACACACACATACCCACCCACGCCCACTCACCAGTGGCAGGGTGCACGGGCACAGTAGTCCCAGCCAGCACGGCTTCCCTCCTTCCTTCCCTCAGCGCGCCCTGAATCGCCACCAAATGTTGCGAAATCGCAGACATTGTACTCTCGTCCAACCTGTTGAACTCGTCCATGCACCCCCACCCTGTTTCCCCCATCCCCCGACGCCCACTCACCAGTAGTAGGGTGCACACACACACACCCACCCACGCCCACTCACCAGTGGCAGGGTGCACGGGCACGGCAGTCCCAGCCAGCACGGCCTCTCTCCGTCCCTCCCTCAGCGCGCCCTGAATCGCCACCAGGTGCTGCGAGATCGCAGACATTGTACTCTCGTCCAACCGGTTGAACTCGTCCATGCACCCCCACGCGCCCAGCCTCGCCACTCCCTCCAAAACCCGCCCCACCGCCGCACTGTCAAAGCTCCTATCGCAAGATAACGCCAAAACCGGCCGCCCGAGCTGCCGCCCGAGCGCCTTGACCGTCTCCGTCTTCCCCGTGCCAGCTGGACCAATCAGAGCGCTGCCCTGGCCGTGCCAGAGCGCCTGGGAAAGTGCGAGGAAGCAGCGGTCAGTGAGGGAGGTGCGGACGAGGGAGGGAGTACAGCCAGAGTATTCAAACCCGTAGGTGAAAGAGGCGTCTGCGATTTGAACAGAGAGGCGGTGGAGGGGAGGGAGGGAAGGGTCGAGGTAGTATCGGAGGCATTTTCGCCAGGCAAAGGAGGAGAGGGAGAGCCCGTGTTGCTTCCTCTCCTTCCGCTTCTGCTTCTGCTTCTGCTGAAGCCCTGCACACTCCATATTCTCCTTATCCTCCTCCTCCTCCTTCTCTGCCCGTGCCTGCTCCTCCTGCTGCTCCAGCAGCAGCGCCTTACTGCTCTCCAGCAGGTGAACCAACACAGTAATCACCGCCTCACACTTGGCCTCCATCAACCTCCCCTCCTCGCCACCTGCCCCCTCTCCTACTCCCCCTGCTCCCCCTGCTGCTCTGCCTGCTCCTCCTCCTCCTGCCCCCGCTGCTTTCCTAGCCAGCTCTCTCCGCTCCCTCACGGCACGTGCCAGCCACTGCAGAAGCCCCTCCAGCCCCACCACCAGAGCCTCCAGCCCTGCTTCCTTTCCACCCCTCACTTGCACCCCTTGCTCATCTACCTCCCGTTCCTCGCCTGCCAAAATCCCTTCAACCAGAGCAGTCCAGCTCACTTGAAGAGCTAGCAGCGCCGGCTGCAAAGGCAGCTTCCCCAGCCACTCGAGGAACCTTCCTCCATTCCTCCTGCTGCTACCCGCCCATCCTCACTCCACTCCTCCTCACTCCGCCGCCACTTCCCTCCTTCCCGCTGCATTTGCTCTTCTCCCTCTTCCCAGCCGCAGCAGTCGACAGCCAATCACACGCCGCCAGCTCAGCGACCGCTGACACAACCAGGTCGCTCAGAGTCGTCCGCAGCGCCATGTCGAGATCCAGCAGCCACTTGGTGGCTCCTGCTGGCTTCTGTCCTTCCGCTGACGTGGCACCCGCTGACGTGGCATCCGCTGACGTGGCACTCGCTGACGTGGCAGCACCTTCCGCAAGCTCCACTGGTTGGTGCAGCACGAGCCGCTCCCCGTCGGAAAGAGCTGCGGTGATAAATACTCTCTTCCCTGCGTCCCCTGAAGGTGCAAACTTCACTACATCCTCTGCTGTACTCTTTTCTGGCAAAATGGTATCAGAGACTGCCGATACTTCAATGCCTGAGACTGCTGTGAAGAGCTTGCGAATGTGCACGTGTACCTGACATGGGAAAAGAGTGAAGAGGGGAGAAAGGGGGAGAGGGGAGAGGGGGAGAGAGGGGGAAAAGGGGAATGGAGGGAGGATGGGAGGGGACCATGAGACTGCAGTGGAGAGCTTGCGAATGTGCACGTGCACCTGAAGCAGGAGAACAGGGGACAGGGAGAGAGAGCGGGGAAAAAGGGAGTGGATTGTCATTCCCAGAAACGACATCCATTCGGGCATACACTTACACGTACACCAAATCACACACACACACATACACATGAACGAACCGGCACGCAGAAACATACAGCAGCGAGGCCTGACGACAATGCAGACATGAGCTGCAGCAGCAGATCGTCATCCCCCCAAAAGTGCAGCCTCGGCAGCATACGCACATACATAAACCATATCACACACACATACACATACAGAGACACATATACGTACAGCAGAGAGATCCGAAGGTGATGCGGATATGAGCTGGAGCAGGTCATCACATCATCCCCCAGACTTTTGAGGCGCCCCAAAAATGATGCGGATATGAGCTGGAGCAGGTCATCATCCCGCAGAAAGTACAGCCTCGGCAGCATCCTCCTCTGCTTGTCTTTAAGCTGACTCAAAAGTGAAACCCCAAACTCAAACTTACAGCAGAGAGGTCTGAGGGCAATGCAGAGATGAGCTGCCTGCAGCAGATGGTCGTTCCTGAGAAAGTACATCCTTGGCAGCATCCGCACACACATAAACCATATCACACACACATACACATACACACACACATACACACACACACACACACACACACACACACACACACACACACACACACACACATACATATGCACAGACACAGACACAGACACATCTACTTACCGCAGAGAGGTTGGCAGACATGAGCTGCAGCAGATGGTTGTCTCCAAGGAAGTACAGCCTTGGCAGCATCCGCACACACATAAACCATATCACACACACATACACATACACATACACATACACACACACACACACACACACACACACACACACACACACACACATACATATGCACAGACACAGACAAAGACACATCTACTTACCGCAGAGAGGTCGGCAGACATGAGCTGCAGCAGATGGTTGTCTCCAAGGAAGTACAGCCTTGGCAGCATCCGCACACTCATAAACCATATCATACGCACATACACATACACATACACAGACACATGCACATAAACGTACAGCAGAGAGGTCTGATGGTGATGCGGATATGAGCTGCAGCAGGTCGTCATCGCCCAGGAAGTACAGCCTCGGCAGCATCCGCCTCTGCTTGTCTTTTGAGTCGACTCAGAAGTGACACTTCATTCATACTCAGACTTACAGCAGATAGATCCGAAGGCGAGGCGGAGATGAGCTGCAGCAGATCATCGTCTCCCAGGAAGTACAGCCTCGGCAGCATCCGTGCACACATACACAGACACATATACTTACCACAGAGAGGTCCAAAGGCGATGCAGAGATGAGCTGCAGCAGATCGTCATCCCTGAGAAAGTAGAGCCTTGGCAGCATCCGCCTAGACATGCACATAACTGACCCAGAGAGACATGCATGCAAGTGAACCAATGCGTACCGCAGACAGGTCTGAGGGCGAGGCGGAGATGAGCTGCAGCAGATCGTCATCCCCCAGGAAGTACAGCTTTGGTAGCCCTCGTCATACACATGAAACCCAATATTCAACTCACAGCAGAGAGGTCTGTGGGGGACGCAGAAATGAGCTGCAGCAGATCGTCATCCCTGAGAAAGTAGAGCCTTGGCAGCATCCGCCTCTGCTTGTCCAGATGCGGCAACTCGCACACTCACTTGACATACACGTACACATATTTTCGTGCCCACACAGAAACATACCGCAGATAAATCAGAGGGCGAAGCAGAGATGAGCTGTAACAGATCGTCATCCCCCAGGAAGTACAGCCTTGGCAGCATCCGCCTCTGCTTGTCCAGATGTGCCTGAACCTCCAAAAGCACCCGCCCAAACACCTCCGCACAAACCGCCAAAACCTGCCGCCCGGCTCCGTCGTCCTCGTCCGCAAGTCCCTCCAGGTCGATCGCGAGAGGGCGGGCGGCGAGCGATCCCAGGAACTCCGTGAACGGGAGGGAAGCTTCGTGGAAGGCGCGGTGCGTGTCGGGTAGCATCGACCGGACGGCAGGTGACGTCATGAGTGCTTCCAAACGGACCCACTTGGACTGCGCGTCTGCTAGCGCATCCACCAGCTCACTCAGCTGCCCCAGTCGCCCCTCCCACTCCCTCACAGCCTCTCTAAACGGAGGGAAGAAGGGAGACTGCTTCATCGCTCCAAGCATACTCAAATGCTCTAGCACCATTTCCCCAACCACCCCCAAATTCCCCACGATTTTCCACTTGTCTCTAAACCCCTTAAAAGCCCACTCCTGCTCGCCCCACTCCTTTTCAACCTTATCCATAAACTGTCTCAATGCCACCTCCCCCTGGACGGCAGATAAAACCTGCTCCGCTGCCGCCCGACCCTCCAAGCCTCCCAGCGCCCGAACCAGATCCCGAACCTGCAGGGTACCTCCGGCGCCGAGCCCGCCCTTGGCTTGGAACCCCAATGCTCGGGCGAGGGCTCTCCAATGGGCCTCTTGCAGCGAGGCTTTAACTAGCTTCGACACCAGACCTAGGCTCGCAATTAGTTTCCGGGCAGCCGATTGAACTGCCCGGAACGCACCGTGCTGCCCGAATACCTCTTCCTCCTGGTTCACGTCGCTCAAGGCGGAGTGCAGAGGGGTTAAGTCCGATTCAGGGTTGAAATCCGCAACCCTAATCCCCTCCACAGAGGCAATAACATCCAAAAGATGATTAATCAACAGCCACATACGCTGCATCTCCTCCCCCTCTGCAACCACCCTCTCTAACCTCCCCTCCACTCTCCCCACCTCCTCCTCCTCCTCCTCCTCCTCCCCGCCCGCCCCTCCCACCAGCCCAATCGCCCTCCTCATGAGCTCTATCCTCGTTTTAAGCTGCCCCACTAAGCGTGCGCACTGCACCAGCGCCCCAGCAGCCCTGCCTCGAGAGCAATCCGCACTGGTAGGAGCAGCAGCGTCCCACCACGTCTCAAGCTCCTCCATACGCCTCCCCACCTCCCCCACATGCACCTGCACCGCACTCAACACCTGCATGCTCACAAGCCCCTGGAGGAAAACTATCCCGCTGGGGGATTCTCCTGCTGCAGCTTCTACTCCCTTTCGTGCTGCTTCTGCTCCTGCCTTTCTCCCTCCCAATACAGCCTTTCTTGCCCATTCCAATTCTCCCCACTCCTTCTCCAGCTCTTTCCAGCTTGCCTGTACCAGCGCCATCCCAACCCCGGCACTACTGCTCCTACCACCGCTGCTGCTGCTGCTAGTGCTCCTTTTCCCCTTGCCACTTCCCCCTCCCTTAGAAACAGCCGCCTCTACTAACGGCCTGAGTTTCTCCACTCCATCACTCACCTCTCCTACCCTCCTCTCCGCCTCCCTCACTCTCTCTAGATGCTCTACCAGCCTCCGCACATCCCCACTCAATCCTTCACCCTTATCCGCACCACCATTACCCATAGCTGCCTTGTTCTCCGCTCCCTTCTCTCCCTCCTGTTCCTCCTCTCCCTGCTCCCCCTCCTCACCCTCCTCTCCCTCTCTCACTCGCCCGAGCCTCTGTTCCCTATCTCTACTCATAAGTTCCCCCTCTGCCTCCCTCTTAATCAACTCCAGTAGTTTCTTCAGCTCAGATACCTCTTTAATCGCCTCTCTACAACCCCGAACCGCCCTGCCTTCTATATCCTCCTCAGCCGCCCGAATCCAAGCCTCACACCGACCCACCAGTGCCTCCCTCACCGAGCCTGCGTCCAAGGCTAAGAGCGAGGTTCGGTCAGCTGTGCCGAACCTAACCACTGCAGGTTTGGCAGCCAGCTGGTTACGAACCTGCTGAATTTCGTTCATAAGGGAACGCCAGAGTTCAGTCGAAGGCGGGGGAAGGGAGGTGTTGGAACTTTCGCTAACAGCAGCTGGGGCAGCAGCAGCAGCAGCAGCAGCTACAGCAGCAGCAGCAGCAGCACGGGCGCATCTCTCCATCTTCCCTTCCGCCTGTGCCACTCTCACCCTCCACTCGCCCACCCACCCCTCAGCCGCCCCAACCACTGCATCCACCACCCCATACGCACACGCCTCCAGCCGAGCCGGAACCACACAGCTCACTACTAACAGACTGCCCACACTAGCCCCGCCCCTTGCAGTGCTGTGATAGCTACCCATGCTGTCGCTGCTGCTGACGTCACTGAAGTTACCAGCAGCCATGGGATGCAGGGCAGCAGAGGCGGATGAGTGCATGCTGCTGGCTTCAGCAGCAGCAGAGGGACCATTCGAGGGAGTGGGAGGGAGCAAGAAAGCCGCAGAGGCGGAGGAGAGGACGCTATTGGCCTCTGCAGCAGCAGAGAGAGCGGGAGCGAGCAACAGCTGAACACAGTCCTGGAGCCGCTGCTGAGACTCGCAGAGAGGAGGCTGTACCTCCACCTCCATCCTGCCACTCGCTCCTCCTCCTTCCACTCTAACCGCCCCTGCGTTTGACCCCCTCACAGCCACTCGGTGCGTCAGCATCCCCATCTGCTCCTGCAGAAGCTGCAGCACAAACGACTCAGTCTCGCTCCCATCCCCGCCATTCAAATCTCCTCCCACTACTCCTGCCGCCCCTGCCGCTCCTGCCGCCCCTGCTGCGTCGGCTCCTCCACCAGCTCGTTCCTTCACTACACCAGAGGGCCCGTGCAGTGAAAGCACAGCCTCAATCTCTCTCACCACCACCTGCAGACCCCCTACACGCTCAGGGGATCCCTTAGAGACCTCATTAACCCTAGCAGCCGCTGCCGCCGCAGCAGCAGCAGCAGAAGCTGTAGCAGATTTGGCACCCGTGGCGGCTGTAGCAGCAGCTGTAGCAGCAGGAGAGTCTCCTCCAATCAGGTCCTTCCATTTCTTCAGCCAGCAGCAGAGCGCTGACGTCAGCTTCTGCTGCAGAGCCGCCTGTGCTTGCATCAGCAGCGGGGCGGCCCACGTGGCAGCCACCTCATGCTGCCACACTGCTGACGTGGCAGCTGACATGGCAGCCGGGTAAGGCGGCCGGGAGATCGCTGCAATTACCGCGTGCGCCAGCTGGCGGAGATGAGTTGGCAGGTCCTGATTCGGTGAGAGGGGATGGAGGAAAAAAAAGAGGACGGAGAAAACATTAAGGTTAGACGCTTTGTGCTATTAGACAAAACTCTTTAGAGCAAGCTCATGGTTTCGGCAATGCCATGCAGCGTCATGCCTCTCCTTGACCTTAGCAGCAGCAGTGGCAGAGCGGGCTTAGAGGCTCTCACCTTATAGACTTAGCTGCTGTAAGCTCCCACCAGCACACGATCGGACACGCTTAAGGCACTGCTATGCCGCCTCGTGCCTGTCCTTGCCGGCAGCAGCAGCGGCTGAAAACGCCTCCACAGCATCCCACAGGCACACGCCTTACAAGCAAACACCCTCCAATCCAACCACCGGCACACACACTCACCTTATAGGCACACGAACGAATCTGCTCAAGGCACTGCCATGCCGCCTCATGCCTCTCCTTGGCCGCAGCAGCTGCAGATGAAAACGCCTCCACTGCATCCCACAGGCACACGGCGAACTCATCCACCTCGTCCTCCTCCTCCCACACCACACTTCCACCTGCAGGGGGGGGGAAATTGGGAGAAGCAAGGGGGACCATGAAGGGAAGCCAGAGGACAAAGGAGTGGTTGAGATGGGTAACAGGCTCAAACACCAAGTTCCCTCCTCTGCATCCCACAGGCACACTGCAACTCGTCCTCCTCCTCCCACACAACGCCCTGGCCTGCAGTGCGGGCAGTAGGGGAACCAAGGGTAACATGAGGGGAAGTCAGGAGACGATGGAGTGGAAGGGGAGACTCATGCGCCAAGTTCCCCCCACGGCATTTGAGGCACGTCAAAAGTCGTCTCTTATCCCGCAATAGACATTGGAGTGGAAGGGGAGACTCATACGCCAAGCTTCCCCCCACCCCACGGCAACCCACAGGCACACCGCCAACTCGTCCTGCTCCCTCCTCCTCCCACACCACTCCCTGACCTGCAACGGTGGCCAATGGTGAGGTGAAATCGGGGAAAGCAAGGGGGAACATGAGGGGAAGTCAGGGGACAACGGAGTGGTTGAGATGGGTGGCTGACTCAAACACACACCCAGTTCCCTCCTCGGCACGACAGCACCCCACAGGCACACTGCAAGCTCGTCCTCCTCTTCCTCCTCAACCCATTCTCTATTCTTCTTTCTTCCTCACCAGAGGGACTAAATATATCTTCCACCGTCCCTCTTCCCTACCCACACCTTTAAATTATGACTCGCCGCTTTGTACTATCCCCAACCACCACTTACCACTCTGCATTATCCCCAGCCACCCCTTGCTGCATGATCCCCAATCCACCCTTACCACTCCGCAGCAATGACTCACCGCTCTGCATTATCCCCAACCCCCCCTTACTGCTGTACAATCAAGTCTCACCGCTCTGCATTATCCCCAGCATCGCTTTCCTTGTCGTCGCCACCAGCGGCAGCACGCTTTTGCTTCCGGACTGCATCACCCACTCACTAGAGTGCAGTACCCCCACCATTGCTTCCTTACCCGCGTGCCGACTCACCGCTCTGCATTAACCCCAGCACCGCTTCTCGCGAAGCCACCACCAGCGGCAGCACGCCCTTGCTGACGCCAGCGCTGACATCAGCAAAGCTCTCGAGCGCTCGTGAGATGGTGGATGCGGAGGAGGCGGCAGCAGAGGCGGAGAGGGCGCAGGCGAGCAGGTGGTGCGGGATGTGGAAGCCTAATGCCCGAAGGGTGCGGACCTCCTCGCTCAGATGCAGCAGGCTTGTCTTGTACTGCACCTGGTGGGGGGAGATGTGGCATAGGGAGCAGACAGGCAGGGCAGAGGGGCAAGGTGCAGAGGGCAGGGGTTCAGGGAGGGGCAGAGGGGCAGGAGGGGAGATGGTGGATGCGGAGGAGGCGGCAGCAGAGGCGGAGAAGGCGCAGGCGAGCAGGTGGTGCGGGGTGTGGAAGCCTGATGCTCTTAGAGAGCGAACTTCGTCACTCAGATGGAGAAGCCTCGCCTTGTACTGCACCTGGAGGGGGGAGATGGGGCATGGATTATGGTTTCATAGGGAGCACACAGGCAGGGCAGAGGGGCAAGGGGCAGAGGGCAGGGGGTCAGTAAGGGGCAGAGGGGCAGGAGGGCGTGTGCCTCATCTCCCCGTCCTGCCAGTGTCCCACCCCTAATCTTCCACCCCTCACCTGCCAGTGTCCCACCCCTAACCTTCCACCCCTCACCTGCAGCTGTAGCAGCGGCTCCGCCTGCTCCTCCTCCCCATACACAAGTCGTCTGTGCCTCATCTCCCCGTCCTGCCAGTGTCCCACCCCTAACCTTCCATCCCTCACCTGCCAGTGTCCCACCCCTAACCTTCCACCCCTCACCTGCCAGTGTCCCACCCCTAACCTTCCTCCCCTAACCTTCCACCCCTCATTGTCTCTCCCCCTCACCTGCAGCTGTAGCAGCGGCTCCGCCTGCTCCTCCTCCCCGGCTGTAGCCGCGCTGCTGTTGCTGACGTCAGCCAGGGGCGGGCGGGACGAGCAGGAGGTGAGCACAGGGCCTCTGAGAGCCTCCTCTGCTTCCTCCGCGCTCATGCTGCTGCTGCTGGTGCTGCCAGTGTGGGGAGCGAGCTTTTCTTGCAGCCACTGGTTGACGGTCTGAAGGGAGAGTGGAGGGATGGACGAAGGGGGAGAGAGAGAGTCACTTGTAAGGGGGACGAGCAGGGAGACGAGCAGGGGGACGAGCAGGGAGCGAGCTTTTCTTGCAGCCACTGATTGACGGTCTGGAAGGGAGAGTGGATGAAGATGAATGGGTAGATGGGGAGGAGAGGGAGACAGTTGTTAGGGGCGGGAGGGACGAGCAGGGGGCGAGCACAGGGCCTCTCACAGCCTCCTCTGCTTCCTCCGCGCTCATGCTACTGCTGCTGTTGGTGCTGCCAGTGTGGGGAGCGAGCTTTTCTTGAAGCGACTGATTGACGGTCTGGAAGGGAGAGTGGATGGATTCAGGGGAGAGAGGGAAAGATTTGTTAGGGCGGGACGAGCAGGGGGCGAGCACAGGGCCTCGTAGGGCCTCCTCTACCTCCTCCGCACTCATGCTGCTGTTGTTGCTGGTGGTGGTGGTGGGAGCGAGCTTTTCTTGCAGCCACGGGTTGACAGTCTGGAAGGGAGAGTGGATGGGTGGATGGGAGAAAAGAGAGGGAGACACTCGTTAGTAGCGGGCGGGACGAGCAGGGGGCAAGCACAGGGCCTCTGAGGGCCTCCTCTGCCTCCTCCGCACTCATGCTTCTGCACATGGTTGGTGTTGCCAGTAGCGGGAGTTATCTCTTCACACACAAACACGCACTTTCTGAGGGTCCGTTTGCTGCAACGCCTCCTCCAGCAGCCGAGCAATCGACCTCCGCAGCCCACCGTCCGTCACCGCTCCCCACCCCGCCCCACCACACTCAACCCCTCCCTCCCCATCTCCACCCATCCCCACCGCTCCCCCCGCGCCTCTTCCCCTCCTGCTCCCTCCCCTCCCCGCCCGACCAATCCCGCTGCGCCAGCTGTCACCCAGCAGAGCGTGCAGGGCCGCGTCTAGCGCCCTCAGCTTCCCGTGAATGGCTTTGGCGCGGGCCACTGAGGCGGCAACACGTGGCACGCCCCTGAGCTGGGCAAGAGAGGACACGTGGCAGGCTGCGGTTGGGTGCCATAGCTGCTCCTCCAGTGCTCGCACGTCTGGCGAAGGGGAGACGGGGAGTGGGGAGGGGGGTGGGGGATGGGGAGGGGGAGGGGAGATGGGAAAGGGGATGGGGAAGGGGAATGGGGAGGGCGGATGGGAAGGAGAGTGGGGGAGGGGGAATGGGGAGGCGGAGAGGAAACGGAAGATGGGGAATGGGAAGGTAAGGTGAAGGAGTTGGGGAATGGGAAGGAAAGGTGAAGGAGTTGGGGAATGGAGACGGGAGAGCAGAGGGGGAAAGGGGATGGGAAATAAATGGGGGAGGAAGGAAGAAACGGAAGGGGGGCGGTGGAAGGGTGGTAAGGGCACAGGGAAGCAGCACATTCAAAAGGTTGCAGACACAATGTGCTTTTTGGGAACTCTCAAAAGGGTTGCACACACCTCATAAGGGTTGCACACACCTCATAAGGGTTGCACACACCTCATAAGGGTTGCACACACCTCATAAGGGTTGCACACACCTCATAAGGGTTGCACACACCTCATAAGGGTTGCACACACCTCATAAGGGTTGCACACACCTCATAAGGGTTGCACACACCTCATAAGGGTTGCACACACCTCATAAGGGTTGCACACACCTCATAAGGGTTGCACACACCTCATAAGGGTTGCAGACACCTCTCCCACCATTCTTTCAGAAAGCAGCAGCTATCGTGCAACATCTGCCTTGCAACTACCATACACCTCGACTGGTGGCATTCAAAAGCGTCATACGCCCCTCTCACCTGCTGCCACCTCGTGCAGCATTTGCTGCAAGTCGTGCTGCAGGCGTGCTGACACCTGCCGTGGTGGTGGGGAGGAGGGTGGAGGACGGAGAGGGAGGGAAGGCAGAGGAGCAGCAAGGGAAAAAGTGGGACGACTGTATGAACAACTGAGAGCAACCATCCTTGAAGGTTGAAGTGAACAAAACAACCCTCTTTGGACAAGTAAGAGCGTTCCTAGTGGAGTGAACAGTCAATTGAGTCGGCTCAAGACCCACACACAACACAAGCCTACTGAAATCATACCCGCGGCAGCGCAGTAAAGGACGAGCACTGCGCCAGCAGCTGCAGCCGCCCCATGGCGGATGGCACCTCCCCCAGTCGCGCCTGCAGCAGCCCCGCCAGTGCCTCCTCCTCCCGGGCCACTGCCGCCCAGTAGATGCCCTGCACCGCCCGCCAGCTGGCAAGGTCGCCTGTGTGTGAGCGGGGAGAGAGGGGGAGGGGAGGGTGGGGGAAGCGGTTGGAAGGTGTTGAGAGGGATCGGACGAGGGAGGGAGGAGGGAGCCACACCAGAAGAGGTTTCCACAGGCTATCAGCAGTAAACCCCTGCGTATGTTCCGCACCTTCGAGAATGTCTGCCACGTGGCTGTCTGTGAGTGGCTCCAGGAAGCGCCTCCACCTGTCCACGTCAGCACCACCGGTGTTGCTGATGCCTGAGGAAGCTTCCAGGTCGCACACCAGAGCAGCTGCTGTCATCGCCTCCTCCCACCCCTCATGCTGCAGGGATGGAAAAGAGGACAAAAAGAAACTGATAATGGCGATAGGCACAAGCCAACTCTTTCAGTATCACCTCCCAGACACTTGGAGAATCTACCCTGCCGGCCAGAGAATCTAACCTGCCGCCTGAAAAATCTCACCTGCTGCCGAATGTCTATCGCTTGGTCCAGGAAAGCGCAAGCAGACGCCATTGCCACGTCAGCAGGGGCCATCGTGTGGTCCTGGCCCGGGAGCTGAGCTGGCGATGCTGGCTGCCAGGTCATGCGGCCGCATGCTGACATCAGCTGGGAGCGGCAGACGACGCTGACTAGGCGCGAGTGCAGCCGTGCCAGCTCATGCCGCCACACGTCCAGCACATCACGAGCCTCCCTTAAATCCTGGGAAATCATCAAGGGGGAGTTGCAGAGAAGCAGTGGGATCGGAAGAGAGGGAATGGAAGAGGTCGACTCGACATGTGTTTATAAGGGGTACAGAGAAATGGGTGTGATGTGAAAGTGAGATGGCTTGGCATGGTAACAAGCTTATGAGGCACCTCAAATGCAGGTACTCACACAGACACCGTCTCACACAGACACCGTCTCACACAGACACCGTCTCACACAGACACCGTCTCACACAGACACCGTCTCAAGCAGACAGAGAGGCCAGGACTCACACAAAGAGAGAAAAAAGGCAAAATCTCACAAAACCAAATACTTACAGCTAGAGCAGCCTTGGGCGGCTGCAACAGTACATGCCCACCAGATGCACCTGCACCAGTTGCCACCTTCCCCGCACCTCCACCTCCTCCCACTCCTCCCTTCCTCCCCTTCCTCCCCTCCACAACGACACTTAGCCAGCTCTTAAGTGCCGCAGCCGCTGCTCCCACCACCCCTCCCACGGCCAACACCAAGGGATCTTCCCATTGCTCCTCCTCCCCGCCTGTAGCGGCTGTAGTGGCTGTAGCGGCTGTAGGGGCTGTAGCAGCGGGAGCAGCTGTAGCAGCTGTAGCGGAAAGCCTATGGAGTGTGAGGCCTTGATTGGCGACGACCCTGCAGGAGGGAGGGGGCAAGTGAGTGAGAGGGGGAAAGGGAGTGGGAGGGGAAAAGGGAGTGAGAGGGGGGAAAGGGAGTGGGAGGGGGAAAGGGAGTTTGAGGGGAAAAGGGAGTGGGGGGCGGAAAGGAAGTGGGAGGGGGGAAAGGGAGTGGGAGGGGGAAAGGGTGTGGGAGGCGGAAAGGAATTAGGAGGGGGAAAGGGAATGGGAGGGGGAATGGGAGTGAGAGGGGGGAAAGGAAGTGGGAGGGGGAATGGGAGTGAGAGGGGGGAAAGGAAGTGGGAGGGGGAAAGGGAGTGAGAGGCGGAAAGGGAGTGGGAGGGGGAAAGGGAATGGGAAGGGGAAAGGGAGTGAGAGAGGGGAAAGGAAGTGGGAGGGGGAAAGGGAGTGAGAGGCCGAAAGGGAGTGGGAAGGGGAAAGGGAATGGGAGGGGGAAAGGGAGTGAGAGGAGGAAAGGGAGTGGGAGGGGGAAAGGGAATGGGAGGGGGCAAGGGAATGGGAGGGGGGAAAGGGAGTGAGAGGAGGAAAGGGAGTGGGAGGGGGAAAGGGAATGGGAGGGGGCAATGGAATGGGAGGGGGGAAAGGAGTGGGAGGGGGAAAGCAGCAGCAGTGCAGCAGCAGAAGCAGCAGCAGCAGCAGCACTCATACTCACTCCATCAGCTGTTGAATGGCCACCCTAACCACCTCCTCGCTTCCCCGCCCTGCTGCCCCACACGTGGATTCAAACGCCCCCACCTGCTGCGCCATCGCCTCTGCTGCTGCCACTGCAGGATGAGGGGGGGGGGGTTGTGGATAAGAGAGGAGAGAATGAGGTTCTGGGAATCACAAGTGCCTCCTCGCTTCCCCGTCCAGCTGCCCCACACGTGGACTCGAATGCCCCCACCTGCTGCGCCATCGCCTCTGCTGCTGCCACTGGGGGATGGAGAGGGGGGTGAAGGAGAAATTGGGAGACTGAGAGATTGGGGGAATGAGAGATTGGGGGAATGAGAGATTGGGGGAATGAGAGATTGGGGGAATGAGAAATTGGGGGAATGAGAGATTGGGGGAATGAGAGATTGGGGGAATGAGAGATTGGGGGAATGAGAGATTGGGGGAATGAGAGATTGGGGGAATGAGATATTGGGGGAATGAGAGATTGGGGGAATAGGAAATTGGGGGAATGAGAGATTGGGGGAATGAGAGATTGGGGGAATGAGAGATTGGGGGAATGAGAGATTGGGGGAATGAGAGATTGGGGGAATGAGAGATTGGGGGAATGAGAGATTGGGAGAATGAGAGATTGGGGGAATGAGAGATTGGGGGAATGAGAGATTGGGGGAATGAGAGATTGGGGGAATGAGAGATTGGGGGAATGAGAGATTGGGGGAATGAGAGATTGGGGGAATGAGAGATTGGGGGAATGTGAGATTGGGGGAATGAGAGATTGGGGGAATGAGAGATTGGGGGAATGAGAGATTGGGGAATGAGAGATTGGGGGAATGTGAACATAAAGGACAAAATAGCACCCAGGTGGGGTTGAGGAGAAAAGGCTAAGGGAAGGGTGGTTGGTAGGTGGGGTGGATGGTTTGCTAGTGGCATCTTACCTCGCTTCCTCGCATTCCCCTGCAGCTGTCGCACTGCAGCTAAGTCACACGCGCCTACAGTCACAGCCACGCCCTCCTGCTGCTCCTCATCCCCCGCTATAGCCACATCCTCTGCCGCCTCCACTGCTGCCCTAACACCCTGCCAAAAGTCCGCTACAGCTGACGCTGGTGCCACGTCAGCTGGAGCCACGTCAGATCCCAGCCTGCTGTGGAAGTGGGTTGCTCTCTGCACCCACTGCTGCAGCACCTGAGAATGATCCGGAGACGCCTGGAAAAGAGAAAACACGAAGTGGACACACATACGAACACGTGATTAAATCACGTACAATCTGAGAATGATCCGAAGCCCAGGGAAAGAACAAACACGAGTTGGACATACATAGACACACCTAATACATGCACAATACGATGATCAACCAATCACCATCAACCTCCAATCGCATCATTAGGAACAATCACGGCAACAAAAACACTCAATATGGCACGCCGAACCAACCTACGAGCGCAACGCAAAGGGCATGTGTGCACTTGTCTCCTTTGGCTGCAATTTTAAGGAAATCTCAGCTCCTCTTTCAGTTTTACCTTATATGGCGTACCAAACGAGCCAGAAGGCTCGCTGAAAGCAGCAGACGACACTCCTGCTCCCGCAACCCAGGCGATCACACGAAGAGGATACCCCCCCCCCCATGGCCGCTTAACAAAATTCCACAACTTATACCTGATAAGGTGCTCCAAACGAGCTGGATGGCTCGCCGAAAGCAGCAGACGACACTCCTGCTCCCGCAACCCAGGCGATCACACGAAGAGGATCCCCCATGGCCTTCCCTGATAGCTCATCTCCGCGCCTCTCCTTTCGCCTCTGGACTTCTTTCTGCTGCCTCACCCGCCGCTCCTCCTCTCTCTGCCTCTGCTCCACTCTCACCCTCTCCCTCTCCTTCTCCCTCTCCCTCTCCCGCTCCTTCTCCCCCTCTTCCATTCTCCGCCGCTCGTTCTCTCGCTCCTCAGCCCTCTCCTTCTCCCTCTGCCGTTCTTCTGCGATTCGCACATGCCTCTGTCGCTCCATCTGCAGCTCAATCTCTCTCAACCGCTCTCGCTCCCTCTGTCTCACTTTCGCCAGCTCCTCTTGCCTCTCCTTCTCCCTCCGCTCCTCCAACTCTCGCTCCATTCTCTCCCGCTGTTCCCTTTCCTCCCTCTCCACCCTCTCCCTCTCAAACCTCTCCCTTTCCCTCCTCTCCCTCTCCTTCCGTTCCTTCTCCATCTTTTCCCGTTCAGCCTTCTCCCTCTCCTTCCGTTCCCTCTCTGCTCTCTCCCTCTCAACCCTCTCTTTCTCTTCTCGTTCACGCCTTGCCTTCTCTTCCTGAACTCTTCTCTCCTTCTCCTTCCTCTCTTTCTCCCTTTCTTCCTTCAGCAACCTCTCCCTCTCCTCCCTCTCTTCCCTCTCCGCCCTCTCCTTCTCCTCCCACTCTCGCGCAACCTCCATCTCCCTCTCTATCGCCCTCTCTATCTCCCTCTTTCTCTCCCTCTCAATCTCCCTCCGCCTCTCCTCCTCCGCCGCTTCCTCCCCGTCCCCCGCGCGCGTAACCCCCTCCCGACCTCCCCCAACGGCTCTCCTTTCCGAACCTTTCCTCTCCAAGCCTCTCATCTCTTTCACCCGAAGCTGCGACTCCACCCTTCCGAAGCTGAGCCTCCGGTCCGACCCGTCCGGAACTGCGGAGAAGCTTCCAGTTACGCGTTCTTCCGGCTGAATGTGACCTCGCGGCTGCTGCGCCGCCAGCAGCGGCGACGTTGGCTGCGATTCGTGCTGCCGATGGTTTTGCAATGAGGGGGATTTGAAGCCGAACCTACCACCAGCCTGATGCGCCTGCTGCAGATGCTGCTGCTCATGCTGCTGCTCATGCTGCTGGTGCATCGAATCCTGCTGACGCTGCCGTTGCTCCTGCCCAGGGTGCGATCTCCTTTCCGGCTTGACGTCAGCAGCTAACGAGGCCGCCTGCTCGCCAGCTGTTACCGGGGACAGCGAGGAAAAGCATCCGTGCGAAACGGGTGTTACGAAATTTACAGAGTTGACGAAAAAGGATGACGGGGATCTTAAAAAGGGAAACAGACTGAGGAGACAGACTTAAAAAGCGCCGCTTGTAATATCTACAGTTATGAAACAGGTATACTGCGGACGCCGCAGTTACATAACATATAATATTTTTTCTTCAAGGTAATGAACTACACCTTAACGGGTGTAACGTACCATGATTACTCGGACGCAGGACTCCAGTCGCCTTCCCTCCACCATTGTAATGGATTCTACTAGCACTCGCGGCGTCACTCGCGCTACTCCTGCCCGGAGTTTCCGTCCCGAACCTGCTTCCGGCATCCGAGCTTGCTGAGCTGGTCCGGCTCAGCTCCCCTGCGTCCTCCGAGCCTTGACCCGAGCCTGACCTACGCGGCAGGTTCGACGGAAGGCGCGACGAAGGTGTCCACGAGGTTCGGAGACTAGTGACCGTTCCTGGAGGTTTGAGGCCAGGCCTGGGTGACACTGGAATACCAGAGCCTCCCTCCTTACCTGGACCGTTTTCCTTCGCTATAAGGACTTCCGATGCTCCTTGTGGTGACTGGAATAGTAACCGTTGTTTAACTACAGGACTTGGGATTGATGAACCGAAACTACCACCAATCGATGACGATCGCGGCGTGGCTGACGGTTCGGCAATTCCATGCCTTTCTGCTCGATGGTCCGCCATGGCAGACGGATCTCCAGCTTTCGTCATTCTGTTGCTGAAACGTTCCTCATCTACATAAACTAGCGTATAACTGAGGTCGCCACTACTGTCTGTATGATTGTTATAGTTCTCTCGCGAGTCACATCTGCCAGCATTCGAAGTCTTACGTGCAGAATGAGTTGAAAAATCGAGAACCACGGAAGCTAACTCCGGTTTGGTGATGGGTCGGCGTGGTTATGCAATCTTCGAAATCTCCATCCCTTCAACCGAAGCACACATTGGAGCCATTGCTGGTAGCAGATCGCTTGACTAGCAAACTATGTCAGGAAAGCCTGGTGGCAGGTTTGTTTGATGATGGAGAAGCGCGTTACCGTATGATACCACACGATAGACAGCGATTTCTGTACTTCAACGCTTACGACCAAAACAAACCATACCGAACCGTGGTTTTTGAAATCGAAATGTGCAACACCACCCGCACTCGAAAATCATCATCAAAACGTTTTCGGCCAATATCATAGATACTCAAAGTATTACCGAGCGGATTCTCAGGTGTAATCTCCAACAGAAACACAGTTTCGCGATATAGTAGTAAGTGTTTCTTGTTATTCTCTGGATACAGTCACGACAGAAAATGCAACACCTGAAAAAAAACTTGTAGCGAACCTAGATGAATTTCAAGACAGATCAACCTCAACTACGGGAAGCCGCCCACTTCAGGAAAAATATATTGCACCCTCTTGACCAAAAAAATAAAACCCAATCGAGAAGGGATGCGACTCGGGAGGCATCGACCCTAAAAACAATGCCCTTTACCGTGTTTAGGGTTGATCCCTCCCGCAAATGCTTCCAGATTCTATAGGGGTTTATTTTTCTGCCCTGTCATAAATTTACGTACTTTAGTTTAACAAATCCAAGTCGGGAGGGTAAACTAGATAGTCCTCTTTTTGTCACCTCCCAAACATTTCGACCAGCGTAAACAGTATGACTAAAAAGCGACGACCAATCAACGTCGAGAAAGTCCAGGCTGATTACACCTGAGAGCCCGCTCGGGACTAATCTGAGTATGTATGAAGTTGGCCGAAACATTTTGGAGCTCCATGTTCAGCATCATCACCAAGACTTCCAGATTCGCCAGGCCAAATTTTCGCTGGGGCGGGAAGTCATGTGTCGCTCTGTGATTTGCTTTCAGCGAAAACAGTGAGGCTTGGCTTTATACAGCTCGGTTCGAGGGTGTTTCCCGCCAAATTGTGTGCTTTGGTTCAGAAGTTGCAGGTTTGTTTCTGGCCTGGTCCACCAGGATGCGACGATTCATTGGTTACTTGCAATTGTGTCAGACCTGCTGCTGACCAGCTGCCGAAGCGCTATTTTGAGGTAACACAAGGAAAACACGGCACTCGCGGTCCAGATAATTGTATAACTCAATTCATACTATTTTAAGTACAGAATCGAAGTATCTCCGTATCGAGAGTTAAAGCAGGACATCCCTTTTGGCAGCCACGTGGAAGCGTCTCGTTTGAAGCAGGTAAAGCACGCGGCTGTTGCGAAACTGCAACAGCGACAAACGTAACGTAACGTTACTGCAGACGAAACCAGCCTCAGGCGGCGCGATGCCTTGTCAGCATTGATAATCGAACGGCAGATACTCACTTATCGTACGGTGGAAAGTCGTCGTCCTGATTGCCGAGACGCTCAGCAAGGTTTGCTGCTCCTCCGTGTAGCCTATGGTTTTCCACAAAACAAATCTCTAGTGCGGTTCAGTGCGTTTCCAAGCATTCAACAACGATTTTCGGCGTTTTTCCATTCTGAACCGTAATGCAACCCACAAAACTGCTTTGCATGTGAATGATTCTACTAGACACACTCATGGTTGCTTTGGATGCCTGGGAAGGACGGCTTTCATATCTCCCACTGCTGTGAAGCCACTCGATTTTTTTGCTGCAGCCTATTAATTACTGAAACTGCTCAGCTTATCTCTCGCGCACTCGTGCACCATATTGCACCACTTTAATCAGTCCCACCATTTTAGGACGCGTCCACTGGCGTCGCGTACTAGTTCTAGTAAAAGGGACACGGTATGTTTCTCGCCAGCTTTCTAAAAGAACTTCGAACAACCGCTAATCAAAGGCACTTGAATGGACATTTTCACGCGCCTTGGAAATTAGTGATTTGCGCGCGACGAATTAGAGGTATCTGTCCAACTCCTATGTGCTAGCGACTAGTAGGTTAGCGTCAAAAAGTGACCCTCTGCACCGCTCAACTCGAGGCCCGCCGCTGGCAGCCAGCCATAGGCTGAGGAGACGGCACTTGGGCGCCATGGTTAGACGTGGCACCGACATTTGAGTCGACTCAGAAGCAACTTCTGGGTGCAGTCGCCACCCCGGTAGTCTTTTTAACACCGCCATGGGTTGATTATGTTGGACGCCACCATGGGCTGCTGTTTTTATTAGGCGCCCTAAAAAAAAAAAACAAAAAAAAAAACAAAAAAAAAGGAGGTTTCCGCTTCGTCCGCCGCCACCGCTAAGCCATCATGGGCTGCTGTTTTTATTAGGCGCCCTAGAAAAAAAAAAAGGTTTTCGCTTCGTCCGCCGCCACCGCTAAGCCATCATGGGCTGCTGCGAGAGCAGGCTGAATAAAGGCCGCGGTCCGCGAAGCATGTCGCTGATGCCCCAGCGCCGCCAACCACGATCGTGGTTCCACTTCCACTTGCACGGTTTCGCAGCCGTCCAATCCATCGCCTGCAGCTTCGCCTCCTCAGGTCCGTGCTGCCACTTGCGCTTCTTCTTCTTCTTCTCTTGCTCTTGTTCGCAGTATTCTTCATTTCTCTTGCTCTCAGTATAGACCTTCTTCTTCATCTCCTCGCCAGCGCCGACCAAAGTCGTGGTCGGTTCCCCTTCCCCTTCCCCTTCCCCTTCCCCTTCCCCTTCCCCTTCCCCTTCCCCTTCCCCTTCCCCTTCCCCTTCCCCTTCCCCTTCCCCTTCCCCTTGTACTTCTTGGCTGCCGTCCACTCCATCGCCTGCAGCCGCGCCTCCTCAGGTGGGTGCTGGCGCGTGCTGCCACGTGCACCGCTCACGGCCGTGGTTCCACTTACATGGCTTGGCTGCCGTCCACTCCATCGCGTGCAGCCTCGCCTCCTCAAAGTGACCTCACCTCCACCTCCAGCAGGCCACGCGGTGGCTCCTCTTAATCTCTCGCACGATCTCTCCTGCCTCTCTTCCCATGTCTTCCCTCCCTGCCAGTGTCAGGCACTAGTCGATTCACAACATCGGATGAGACCTGGACCACGTCAGCAGCACTCCACCAAGCTAGTAGTTTCTGAGAATTCTCTCAAGGACCAATCCCTCCAGCCTCCCCTCCTGCCTACCCTCCTGCCTCCCCTCCTGCCTACCCTCCTGCCTCCCATCCTGCCTATCCTCCTCTCCTGCCTCCCCTCCTGCCTCCCCTCCTGCCTCCCCTCCTGCCTCCCTCCTGCCTCCCCTCCTGCCTCCCCTCCTGCCCCCCTCCTGCCTCCCCTCCTGCCTCCCCTCCTGCCTCCCCTCCTGCCTCCCCTCCTGCCTCCCCTCCTGCCTCCCCTCCTGCCTCCCTCCTGCCTCCCCTCCTGCCTCCCTCCTGCCTCCCCTCCTGCCTCCCTCCTGCCTCCCCTCCTGCCTCCCCTCCTGCCTCCCCTCCTGCCTCCCCTCCTGCCTCCCCTCCTGCCTCCCCTCCTGCCTCCCTCCTGCCTCCCCTCCTGCCTCCCTCCTGCCTCCTCCTGCCTCCCTCCTGCCTCCCCTCCTGCCTCCCCTCCTGCCTCCCCTCCTTCCTCTCCCCACGTCTTCCCCTCCTACCAGTGTCCGGCACTAGCCGATTCACAACCACGGATGAGGGGCACTACCAGTGCCCCTCTCAACGGAGTATGTTTTTTTGAGAATTCTCAAAAGGACGAGACCTGGTCCGCATTACCACTCCGCCGATCTGGCTCTTGAGCATTTTCAAAGGCAAGTGGCCGATTCTCAAAAGGACGAGACCTGCCTCTCTTCCTGTCTCTTCCCCTCCTGCCCCTCTTCCCCTCCTGCCCCTCTTCCCCTCCTGCCCCTCTTCCCCTCCTGCCCCTCTTCCCCTCCTGCCCCTCTTCCCCTCCTGCCCCTCTTCCCCTCCTGCCCCTCTTCCCCTCCTGCCCCTCTTCCCCTCCTGCCCCTCTTCCCCTCCTGCCCCTCTTCCCCTCCTGCCCCTCTTCCCCTCCTGCCCCTCTTCCCCTCCTGCCCCTCTTCCCCTCCTGCCCCTCTTCCCCTCCTTTCCACCTGCCAGTGACAGGCAGCCGATTCACAACAACAGACGAGACCTGGTCCACGCTACCACTCCGCCGGTTCACCTACCGCGAGCTACAGCAGGCCACGCAGTGGTTCGGCCCGAGCCAGATCCTGGGCCGCGGCAGCTTCGGCACGGTGTACCGAGGCTCGGTGGAGGAGTGGCTCGGCGAGGAAGATGACAGGAAGGTTCCAGGGGAGGAGAGAGGAGGAGGAGGGAAAGCGCAGAGGAACGAGGAAGAAAGAGCAGGGAGAGCAGGAAGAGCAGGAAGAGCGGGTGGTGGTGCTTCAGGTGGTGGTGGTGGTGGAGGTGGGATGCCACGTCAGCGTGACGTGGCAGTGAAGGTGCTACACAGCGGCAGTTTCAAGGCCGTAGATGAGTGTATGTCAGAGATTATAATGCTTGGGAGTTTACACCACCCTAATCTGGTGCGGCTGCTAGGGTACTGTGTGGACTTGAATCGGCCCCGGGGGGGTGCTGCCGCATTGCTGGTGTATGAGCTTATAGAGAGGGGGAATCTGCACACGTGGCTGTATCCACGTCAGCAGGAGGAGCAGCAGGAGGGGGAGGAGGAGGAGAGGAAGCGGAGTTGGGGGGGTATGAGTGAGGCTGCTACAGATAACGCTGCTGCTATAGATGATGCTGCTATACGGGATGCTGCTGCTACAGCTGCTGCAGCGGCTAGGGGTGTGTCTGGTGCTGCTGCCAGCGCCGTTGATCCCGCCACGCCTGTGCTGACGTGGCAGCAGCGCGTGCGCATAGCTGTGGACGTGGCAAGAGGGCTGGAGTACCTGCACGGGCAGAACGTGATTCACAGGGACTTCAAGACGTGCAACATTTTACTGGATGAGGTAATAACGCGTATAGGGTGTATTTGCACGGGCAGAACGTGATTCGCCGGGACTTCAAGACAAGCAACATTCTGCTGGATGTGGTAATAACGCGTACAGGGTGTATCTGCACTGGTGTACTGTGGGCAGCAGGATGAGGTAACTAACAACGGCACACAGCCAATGATTTCTTGAATGGCCACAGCAGGAGCTCAGCTCACCCTGCTGTAAGCTCACCCTGCTATGAGCTCAACCTCAACCTCCCTCTTGCCCTCCGTCGCAACCTGCTCTCTCACCCGCCCTCTCATTCTGACATCTTTCCGTCTCAGTTGTCCATCGTTTCCTTTCTGACGGATCTGACGGATCTGACGGATCTGACGGATCTGACGGATCTGACAGATCTGACAGATTTTGACATCAGTTGTTGCATACATCTCTCCCTTTCCTCTCCCCTTTCCCTCCCCCCCTTTTTGAGGCGCCTCAAAAGCCCTCTCATCCTGACATCAGTTGTCGAATACACCTCTCCCTTTCCTCTCCCCTTTCCCTCCCCTCCCCCCCACCCCTCCACAGCACATGAATGCGAAGCTGACGGATTTCGGAATGGCAACTGCACGGCCCGAGGCGGGCAAGTCGCACGCTCCTTCGCATTCTGATATCTTTCCCTTTCTCTCATCCTTTCTCCCCACTCCGCAGCACATGCGTGCAAAGCTGACGGATTTCGGGATGGCAACTGCAGGGCCCGAGGCGGGAAAGTCGCACGTGTCTACGCGCATCATGGGGACAATGGGGTACTTGGACCCTGCGTATATAGACACAGGTGAGGTGCGGTTTAGTGCGGTGGAGATGGGTGCCAAACTGGACAAACTCGAGTTATGCTGTGCGGCAGTGGGTGGGCAAGTCGCATGTGTTGACGCGCATCATGGGAACAATGGGGTACCTGGACCCTTCGTACATTGACACAGGTACAGAGGGGTTTACATTGGTTGAGTGCGGTTTAGTGCTGTTCAGTGCGATTGAGGTGGATGAACATGGATTGTGGGGTAGGGAGTGGCCACAGCAGGGCCTAAGGCAGGCAAGTCGCATGTGTCTACTCGCATCACGGGGACAATGGGGTACTTGGACCCTTCGTACATTGACACAGGTGAGGCCCGGTTATGTGCAGTTCGGTGCAGTGCAGTGCGGTTTAGTGCGGTTGAGATGGGTGGCCAATGCGGATAGCATGAGTGGGGCTGTGGGTGGGTTGGGCGAGTCGCACGTATCAACATGCATCACGGGGACTTTGGGGTACTTGGATTCTTCATACATCGACACAGGTGAGGAGGGGTTCAGTGCGGTGGAGATGGGTGCCCAATGCGGACAGCAAGAGTGTGTTGTGGGGCTGTGGGTGGGCTGGGCAATTGGCACGTATCAACACGTGTCACGGGGACCTTGGGGTACTTGGACCCTGCATACATCGCTACAGGTGCGGAGGGGTTCAGAGTGGTTCAATGCGGTTCAGTGCGGTGGAGATGGGTGCCCAATGGGGATTAACATGAGTTGGTTGGTGGCATGGTGGGTGGGTGGGCAAGTCGCATGTTTCGACTCGCATCGTCGGCACCCTGGATTACCTGGACCCTTCGTACATCGACACAGGTGAGGAGGGGTTCACCGCGGTTCATTGTGGTGGAGATGGGTGGGTGCAGTGTGGTAAAAATGGGTTCAGTGAGGTATTAGTACGCGTTATTCCACTTGAAGTGTCCTCCGATCCTGCATACCCCCCTTTTCCCTCATGACACCTCACGGCCTGCAGTGACATGTACTCGCTGGGAGCGGTGCTGCTGTTAAGCGGATAACCCCTCACCCCTTCCCTTTTCCTTATTCCCTCCTCCCTCCAGGCCACCTGACAGAACGCAGTGACATCTACTCGGTGGGAGCGGTGCTGCTGTTGAGCGGATAACCCCTCACCCCTTCCCTTTTCCTTATTCCCTCCTCCCTCCAGGCCACCTGACGGAACGCAGTGACATCTACTCGCTGGGAGCGGTGCTGCTGTTGAGCGGATAACCCCTCACCCCTTCCCTTTTCCTTATTCCCTCCTCCCTCCAGGCCACCTGTCGGAACGCAGTGACATCTACTCGCTGGGAGCGGTGCTGCTGTTGAGCGGATAACCCCTCACCCCTTCCTTTTTCCTTATTCCCTCCTCCCTCCAGGCCACCTGACAGAACGCAGTGACATCTACTCGCTGGGAGCGGTGCTGCTGTTGAGCGGATAACCCCTCACCCCTTCCCTTTTCCTTATTCCCTCCTCCCTCCAGGCCACCTGACGGAACGCAGTGACATCTACTCGCTGGGAGTGGTGCTGCTGTTGAGCGGATAACCCCTCACCCCTTCCCTTTTCCTTATTCCCTCCTCCCTCCAGGCCACCTGACGGAACGCAGTGACATCTACTCGCTGGGAGCGGCGCTGCTGTTGAGCGGATAACCCCTCACCCCTTCCCTTTTCCTTATTCCCTCCTCCCTCCAGGCCACCTGATGGAATGCAGTGACATCTACTCGCTGGGAGCGGTGCTGCTGTTGAGCGGATAACCCCTCACCCCTTCCTTTTTCCTTATTCCCTCCTCCCTCCAGGCCACCTGACGGAACGCAGTGACATCTACTCGCTGGGAGCGGCGCTGCTGTTGAGCGGATAACCCCTCACCCCTTCCCTTTTCCTTATTCCCTCCTCCCTCCAGGCCACCTGACGGAACGCAGTGACATCTACTCGCTGGGAGCAGCGCTGCTGTTGAGCGGATAACCCCTCACCCCTTCCCTTTTCCTTATTCCCTCCTCCCTCCAGGCCACCTGACGGAATGCAGTGACATCTACTCGCTGGGAGCGGTGCTGCTGTTGAGCGGATAACCCCTCACCCCTTCCTTTTTCCTTATTCCCTCCTCCCTCCAGGCCACCTGACGGAACGCAGTGACATCTACTCGCTGGGAGCGGCGCTGCTGTTGAGCGGATAACCCCTCACCCCTTCCCTTTTCCTTATTCCCTCCTCCCTCCAGGCCACCTGACGGAACGCAGTGACATCTACTCGCTGGGAGCGGTGCTGCTGTTGAGCGGATAACCCCTCACCCCTTCCCTTTTCCTTATTCCCTCCTCCCTCCAGGCCACCTGACGGAACGCAGTGACATCTACTCGCTGGGAGCGGTGCTGCTGTTGAGCGGATAACCCCTCACCCCTTCCCTTTTCCTTATTCCCTCCTCCCTCCAGGCCACCTGACGGAACGCAGTGACATCTACTCGCTGGGAGCGGTGCTGCTGTTGAGCGGATAACCCCTCACCCCTTCCCTTTTCCTTATTCCCTCCTCCCTCCAGGCCACCTGACGGAACGCAGTGACATCTACTCGCTGGGAGCGGCGCTGCTGTTGAGCGGATAACCCCTCACCCCTTCCCTTTTCCTTATTCCCTCCTCCCTCCAGGCCACCTGACGGAATGCAGTGACATCTACTCGCTGGGAGCGGTGCTGCTGTTGAGCGGATAACCCCTCACCCCTTCCTTTTTCCTTATTCCCTCCTCCCTCCAGGCCACCTGACGGAACGCAGTGACATCTACTCGCTGGGAGCGGCGCTGCTGTTGAGCGGATAACCCCTCACCCCTTCCCTTTTCCTTATTCCCTCCTCTCTCCAGGCCACCTGACGGAACGCAGTGACATCTACTCGCTGGGAGCGGCGCTGCTGTTGAGCGGATAACCCCTCACCCCTTCCCTTTTCCTTATTCCCTCCTCCCTCCAGGCCACCTGACGGAATGCAGTGACATCTACTCGCTGGGAGCGGTGCTGCTGTTGAGCGGATAACCCCTCACCCCTTCCTTTTTCCTTATTCCCTCCTCCCTCCAGGCCACCTGACGGAACGCAGTGACATCTACTCGCTGGGAGCGGCGCTGCTGTTGAGCGGATAACCCCTCACCCCTTCCCTTTTCCTTATTCCCTCCTCCCTCCAGGCCACCTGACGGAACGCAGTGACATCTACTCGCTGGGAGCGGCGCTGCTGTTGAGCGGATAACCCCTCACCCCTTCCCTTTTCCTTATTCCCTCCTCCCTCCAGGCCACCTGACGGAACGCAGTGACATCTACTCGCTGGGAGCGGCGCTGCTGTTGAGCGGATAACCCCTCACCCCTTCCCTTTTCCTTATTCCCTCCTCCCTCCAGGCCACCTGTCGGAACGCAGTGACATCTACTCGCTGGGAGCGGTGCTGCTGTTGAGCGGATAACCCCTCACCCCTTCCTTTTTCCTTATTCCCTCCTCCCTCCAGGCCACCTGACAGAACGCAGTGACATCTACTCGCTGGGAGCGGTGCTGCTGTTGAGCGGATAACCCCTCACCCCTTCCCTTTTCCTTATTCCCTCCTCCCTCCAGGCCACCTGACGGAACGCAGTGACATCTACTCGCTGGGAGCGGTGCTGCTGTTGAGCGGATAACCCCTCACCCCTTCCTTTTTCCTTATTCCCTCCTCCCTCCAGGCCACCTGACGGAACGCAGTGACATCTACTCGCTGGGAGCGGTGCTGCTGTTGAGCGGATAACCCCTCACCCCTTCCCTTTTCCTTATTCCCTCCTCCCTCCAGGCCACCTGACGGAACGCAGTGACATCTACTCGCTGGGAGCGGTGCTGCTGTTGAGCGGATAACCCCTCACCCCTTCCCTTTTCCTTATTCCCTCCTCCCTCCAGGCCACCTGACGGAACGCAGTGACATCTACTCGCTGGGAGCGGTGCTGCTGTTGAGCGGATAACCCCTCACCCCTTCCCTATTCCTTATTCCCTCCTCCCTCCAGGCCACCTGACGGAACGCAGTGACATCTACTCGCTGGGAGCGGTGCTGCTGTTGAGCGGATAACCCCTCACCCCTTCCCTTTTCCTTATTCCCTCCTCCCTCCAGGCCACCTGACGGAACGCAGTGACATCTACTCGCTGGGAGCGGTGCTGTTGTTGAGCGGATAACCCCTCACCCCTTCCCTTTTCCTTATTCCCTCCTCCCTCCAGGCCACCTGACGGAACGCAGTGACATCTACTCGCTGGGAGCGGTGCTGCTGTTGAGCGGATAACCCCTCACCCCTTCCCTATTCCTTATTCCCTCCTCCCTCCAGGCCACCTGACGGAACGCAGTGACATCTACTCGCTGGGAGCGGTGCTGCTGTTGAGCGGATAACCCCTCACCCCTTCCCTTTTCCTTATTCCCTCCTCCCTCCAGGCCACCTGACGGAACGCAGTGACATCTACTCGCTGGGAGCGGTGCTGCTGTTGAGCGGATAACCCCTCACCCCTCACCTTTTCCTTATTCCCTCCTCCCTCCAGGCCACCTGACAGAACGCAGTGACATCTACTCGCTGGGAGCGGTGCTGCTGTTGAGCGGATAACCCCTCACCCCTTCCCTTTTCCTTATTCCCTCCTCCCTCCTGGCCACCTGACGGAAGGCAGTGACATCTACTCGCTGGGAGCGGTGCTGCTGTTGAGCGGATAACCCCTCACCCCTTCCCTTTTCCTTTTTCCCTCCTCCCTCCAGGCCACCTGACGGAACGCAGTGACATCTACTCGCTGGGAGCGGTGCTGCTGTTGAGCGGATAACCCCTCACCCCTTCCCTTTTCCTTATTCCCTCCTCCCTCCAGGCCACCTGACGGAACGCAGTGACATCTACTCGCTGGGAGCGGTGCTGTTGAGCTGATGCCTCCTCAACCCCCGCCCCCCATTTCTGTCCCCGTCAGGCCACTTGACCGCACGCAGTGACATGTACTCGCTGGGGGGGGTGCTGCTAGAGCTTGCAACAGGCAGGTCGCCTCATGCCCATAGGTATCCCTTCCCCCATCCCCCCACACCCCTCCCTCCCCCCTCTTCCCGCTGGGCCACCTGACGGCCCGCAGTGACGTCTACTCGCTGGGAGAGGTCCTGCTGGAGCTGGCAACAGGCAGGTCGCCGGGTGCTGCTGTTCTGAGAACACCCAACACTCCTTCCCTCCACCCACCCCCAACCCCCTCCCAATACCCCCTACCCCCTTCTTCCTTCGCTTACTCAAGGCCACCTCACAGCGCGCAGTGACGTGTACTCGCTGGGGGTGGTGCTACTGGAGCTGGCAACAGGCAGGTCGCCTCATGGCTGTAGGCACTCCTCCCCCCATCTCCACCCTCATGTCTGCAGGTCACCTTACAGCGCGCAGTGACGTCTACTCGCTGGGGGTGGTGCTGCTGGAGCTGGCAACAGGCAGGTCGCCGGGTGCTGCTGCTCGCAACACCCACCACACTGAAGAGGACTGAACCACATTTGTGTGTGCCATCCAATGCTCCCAACCCAACCATTTCCCCCTCCAGGCCACCTCACCGCGCGCAGTGACATCTACTCGCTGGGGGTGGTGCTTTTGGAGCTGGCAACAGGCAGGTCGCCGGGTGCTGCTGAGAAGACCCGCTGCCTCCTGCCCTGGGCTCTCACACAATTGGATCGCTGTGAACAGTCTGTACAGCAGCAGCAGCAGCAGGAGGAGGAGCAGAAGCAGCAGCAGCAGCAGCAGCAGCAGCAGCAGCAGCAACAACAACAACAACAGCAACAGCAGCCGCAGCAGCTTCAGTGGGAGGGGGGGGGACGTCACAAGAAGCAGCAACATCAGCAGCTGGAGCAGCAACGAGATCGACAACAGCAGCAGCAGCATCAGTGGGAGCAGCAGGAGCAGGAGAATGTGCATGCATCTGTCCCCTTTTACTTGTGTACTGTTATGGATAAGAGGCTGCGCGGAGTGTACAGTAGAGAAGGGGCAACGAAGCTGCTTATGCTTGGGAAGCAGTGCGTGAATGAGGACCCATTACAGCGTCCTAAATTGGGGCATGTTATAAGGAGTCTGGAGGAGATTCTCGGCCTAGAGAATGAGCACTGAGGTTACTTCTTTTCAGTCGACCATGGAATGTTTGAGGACCTGTTGCCGCAGCCTGAATCGGGGCGTATATTAAAGAATCTAGAAGATGTGCTTGGAGGAGACTCCTCCAGCAGCAGAGGCAGCGGCACCACCACCACCGCTACACTCTAAAAAATCTCGGTGTGTCTCTCCAATATGAATCACGTTTGGCCAAGTGCTGGAAGGTCTCAACATGTTCCACCTAAATTGGTGTCAATTGTCCTATTGATAACCTGCTTTATATTTCATGGAAGTTCTTGTTGAGTTTAGAAGTTCTTCGCTACACTACTACAATTAGCAGGAGAGTGCTCTCCAATTATGTTGGATATCGGATAGTGTTTTCGTCAGATGGGTCACTTCGAGAGGCATGGAACTGTCAGGAGGACAATGTCCAGCGGTGAGGTTCAGCGGCTTGAGGGAATTGTGGTGGCGACCGGGCCAGCTGATCTGGAATGACGCGAATGTGACATTTACCGCTCCATTATCGTTATTGGATGAGCTACTTTTTTGCATGGCAATCCTAGATTGGAGGCTAAGAAGCGAAACTCGATTGGCTAACTTATAGCCTACAGAACTTTGCCACGTGTTCGGGAGGGTTCGTCCTGGCACGGGACACTGAGGGTCCCATAACCTCGAACTTCCGCGCACCTCGTATTTATCATCCAATGGCGCGCGAGCGGCTGATCGAGCCCTCCCAGCTGCAAGAACCTCGAGACGAACGGCGGTAATCTTCCCTCGCCCGAATTCGCGATTTCCAAGAGCTGTCACGAGTGTCGCCTATGGCCTAGCGACGTCCCACGAACATTCACGAGAAGAATCTGTTCCGAGGGTCTGACCAGCTGCATCCTCGGCTCGGCGATGCTGACATGCGCGGGCCTTCTCAAGCCCTCCGAACGTCGATTACAGGCACGGAGCAGGAGAATTTAGGCTTCGCTGGCAAATGGTTTTCAGATTCTAGTTGATGATTGGCTCATGCTGGTTTGGCATGTTCCTTTCTGGTTGGTTCAACGGCTGCTAGTTCAGCCTTGGATCCTGACTGCCTTTGCTTGTGCGAATGACGTGGTGGTGTCACATGGGAATGGCCAGCATTGTTGTCAGGCTTACTGGCAGCCGGTTCAAATAGGTCCTTTCCGCTATAACACGGTTCATTTGACCACCGCTCTGGAACGCAGTAAACCGAACAACAACCATCATGCATGAGCAGAAGGATTTGAGATCGTGGTTCAGTGAGTGCAGTGGAGGTTAGCTTGTGGACTGGCTGTTCTGCATTGGAGGTTGTGATTGATTCTTCTCACTCCCTAGCGTGTCCTGTGGTGGAGGAGTGGCGAAGGCTTTAGCTGGCTCAGTGGTTTCTATTACTCTTTGGCTTCTGATAAAGCCAATCAGGAGTCCAAGCAAGCTAAAAAGCCAGAATAATATCCGTTGTTCTCAGCTAAGTCTAAACAGCTGTTATTCGATATAGAAGAAGGTTTAAGTGGCTGCTGTTCGCTATTTGATCCAAACAGACATTCGTGTCTCGATCAGCTTGGTGCTGGTAACTTCTCGCTGACCTCCGGATATTTCACTATCCTCACAACATGGCGGCCCTTCAAGCTGGAAATGCAGTTCACTGCCGTCAGTCATTGAAGAGCATTTCTGATCCAGTTTCAAAGAAGTCTGTCGTGAATGCTGCCTTCTTCCGATCAGCATCAGCTACATCCCTCCATTCCAACCTGAAGTCTCACGCGAAGGTCGCAAGGTACGTATCGCTCGCTTTGCCAACCACCAGTTAAGGTTAGTCAATGCTTAAAACTTCTTTATGTTGAGTATTGGGCTTAGGACTTCACGGAAAGACTGATAAACGGACCGTTTGATAATATGCAGAGGATCAACTTCGGTTCGGAGAGCCATTCGTGCTGAGGCCGCTTCGGACGCTCAACAAAACGGAGCAGCGACAGAAAGTATGTGATCGCATACCGGATTCTTCTGCGTTAATTTCTTATATTAGCCTTGAAGAGTCAAAGCATTTTTTTCTGGGAGTCGCTCGCTCATCCGTGCGTTTCGCGGAACGTTCCCGCCATTGTCAGCGTCTCCGTGACAGCCTTTTTAAACTCTCCATTTCCTAATTATTCCCCAAACCTGTGTTGCGCAGAGGCCGCTGCGCTGATCCTTATCCGCCATGGCGAGTCTCTCTGGAACTCTAAGAACCTATTCACAGGCTGCGTGGACGTTCCTCTGTCGGAGAAGGGTGTCAATGAGGCCATTGAGGCAGGAAAGAGAATCTCCGAGATTCCCGTTGATGTCATTTTCACCTCCGCGTTGATCCGCGCTCAAATGACCGCCATGCTGGCCATGACGCAGCATCGCCGTAACAAGGTGAGAACGGCCTTATAATCATCACAATGAGGAGTGAATGTTTCTTCCTATGTCGGTTTTTGCTCGTGAACCATGGTTTTTCATTCCTGATAGAACACCCAAAAGGTTAACGTCGGAACAGGTTACACACCCTCTGCACTGCAATGTCAAAGGTCGGACCATACTCCAGCCCAGACAAACTCTCGCTACTATTATCCGTTCTTCACCCGTCTCGCTTTTCCTGTCCCTTTTATATTGCGCGCTCGTCCAGGTTCCTGTCATCCTGCACGAGGAGAGCCAGAGAGCCAAGGACTGGAGCCGAATCTTCAGTGAGAACACCGACGAGGAGATCATTCCCGTCATTACTGCGTGGGAGCTGAACGAACGCATGTAAGCCACATCATACTACTTGGTTCAGTCACAATGATGTCAAGTGCCGAATCTTCAGCCAGAACACTGACGAGGAGATCATTCCCGTGATCACTGCGTGGGAGCTGAACGAACGCATGTGAGTCGCGTCATTCGTTCTCGTTTTTGGTTCCACGGAGTTTTGAGTCGACCCGAAAATAATACAGCCAGAACACCGACGAGGAAACCATTCCCGTGGTCACTGCGTGAAAACCGAACGAACGCATGTAAGCCACATCATATTACTTGTCCTTGGTGTGAAGTGTCGAATCACAATGATGTGAAGTGTCGAATCTTCAGCCAGAACACTGACGAGGGGATCATTCCCGTGATCACTGCGTGGGAGTTGAACGAACGCATGTGAGTCGCATGGTTCTCTTTTTGTTTTCTGTTCCATCTTGACGTTTTCAGGTGCAGAAACTTACTTCGCTGGTGTGTATTCCGTCTGGTATGAATCCCCATAACACGTTTGGCTGAAGCATATTGACTCGTGCTGTTTCGTAAATGCCCATGCTCTCAGTTGGCCGCCAGTCATCCAAAGACTTATCACAGTATCATCGGATACTGGAAACGATTTCCAGAAAAATATATATATTTTTTACCCTCACCCTCTCGTGCTACAACCAGCCGTGAGAATCTAGCGTGTGACTCCTGGGTTTGAACCGGGAGTCAGCAGTCAAACAAGTCAGTCATACGCGTGCACCCCCAATCCAACCTTTCCCAACCCTGACCTTCAGGTACGGAGAACTCCAAGGATTGAACAAGAAGGAGACGGCAGACAAGTACGGCATGGAGCAAGTCGTTCTCTGGCGTCGATCGTACGACGTCCCGCCTCCCAACGGCGAGTCCCTCGCCATGTGCGCTGAGCGCGCTGTGGCATACTTCAAGGAAAATGTGGAGCCGAGACTCACGGCTGGCGAGAATGTGATGATTGCAGCGCATGGCAACTCGCTTCGTGCCATCATCATGTACCTTGACAGCCTTACGTCGCAGGAGGTATGTCACGTGCCGTGTGAACTGCTATGTTCCGCTCTGTGCAACTCTGAGAGAAGGGAGCACTAGAATGATCAGCTCGCCATGTGCGCTGAGCGCGCTGTGACATATATCAAGGATCACGTGAAGTGGAGCCGAGACTCAGAGCGTGCCCTTTTTTGGTGAGTGCGTCTGCACGGAGAGACAAATTTAGGGAATCCGTGGCGTATTTCAAATACCACGTGGAACCAAGACTCACGGCTGGCGAGAATGTGATGATTGCGGCGTGCGCATGGCAACTCGCTTCGCGCCATCATCATGAACCTCGACAGCTTTATGTCGCAGGAGGTATGTCATCTTCCGTGTTTTGAGACATCTCGAAACACATGGCAACTCGATTCGCGCCATCATCGCGTACCTTGACAGCGTCATTTCACAGGAGGTAGGTCATGTCCGTCTGAAGTGCCATGTTACATTTCGTTCCGCGCACTTTCTGAACAAAATCAGTGTGAGTGGGCCATGTGAATGCATATTTACGGAGTGATAAGCTTTGGGAGGGGAAATAGTAAGGAGAGACCGGGAAGGTTGTGAGGAGGAAGTAAAGTAATTGATGCGAATTGTTCTAACGACCTCTAGTCGTCCAGGAACGGTGTGGGAGGGACAATTACTATATTCATTGTTTTGCATGGTAGTTTCGCTTATGTCTTTCAGAAGTTTATTCCCCTGTTTCTTATGCCATTGCGTTTTGATGTGAAACGCTGCATGTGATATAGCTGGTGTTCTCCACAGGTGTCCCCGTGCTCTACATCTTTCAACGCCAACGGAGCAGTTTATAGTCGAGTCCAGATTCACCTCCTTGATCCCCTTGAATTTCACCCCAATTGTGTTGTCCAAATTTTACACGAAACGCTGCAGGTGGTAGAGCTGGAGCTCTCCACGGGCGTCCCCATGCTCTACATCTTCCAAGGAACCATCTTCAAATGGAGACCGGATTCACCACTTTGATTCCCCTGATTCTCACTGCCATTGCCTTTTGATGTGACTCGCTGATGATGATGCAGGTGATTGAGCTGGAGCTCTCTACGGGCGTCCCCATGCTCTACATCTTCCAAGGAAGCAAGTTCCTCCGCAGGGGCTCTCCCCTCCGCTCAAACGATATCGGCGTCTTTGCACTCACAGAGGTGAGACCCTTTGCCGCGCAGATGTTTCTGAGAAAATTGCAGGGAGAGGTGCTGGGATTTTGTTCGCAGAGGGTAGTAGAATTCGCGAAGGGTTTGTCAGTGCCGTTGCACACGCAGTTATAACGTGCCCTCTGTGCCTACTCATGTCTTTGTCCCTTCCTCTTTGTTGCTACCTACTCCATTCCACTCCCCCCAACCCTTCCCATCCGACTCACCGCACATGCAGTGAATGTTTCGTTCTTGCTGTGTCCCCTGTTGTGGGTTCTTCCCCGTAAATCCCACTTATCTTCCCTTACTCCCACAAAACGTCTGTCACTCCCAGGATCTGGCGCAATATAGAACCATGTTGGACACCATATCCGAAGGCCGGGGCTGATAGCCTGACAGCGATTTGGGAATTTATTAGCTCCGTACAGATGGGTCATTGTGCAAGTATAGCTTGCACTAGCTACCGGTAGTAACGTGGTAGTAACGTACTTGGTCTGGCTGTGCAAACAGTCATTCCTCACTGTATACCTCTGCTTAATCGGCATTGGCTAGCAATGATGTTCTGTGTGGTTGCGTTTGCATTATGTGGTATGGAATGTGCACCCGCATCCCAGCCCAACCTTTTCATTTACGTTCCTGCATGCAGCTGGGTGAAAGATAAGGTTCACACAGAGGTCCTGCTTATGAATTCGAAACACTTCAGCCTTCTGGGTGTTGGTGCCTGGATCAGCTATGGGTCCATGGGAATGCAAGCCCTCCCACCCATACAAGCACAAATCCCTTGGCAATACAAGCAGTGGAGTGCATCCATCCCCTTCAGAGCATTCCCCTGTCAACAACATACGGTACCGGCACTACTACTGTAATCACCTCACCTCTCATCTCGTTGTATCTTGAGCCCAGCACCCTAAGATTGGGACACTTTCCAATAGAAACACAAACTATCATGGCGAAGTACAACTACAACCGGGATACACATCCTACTGTACGCTATAAACGAGCTGCCGGTACAACATGGACAACTCCTATTGATACTTTCTACTTTGACTCGCACTACCACTCTACCGTAAAAGCCATTTTACAGGAGCTACCAAATCGTACATGGAACACATACCGGTACACCACATTGCACTGGTACTGCGATGCCCAGCAACAGGGCATCTGGGCTTCTGGTCACCGTGATTCCCTGCTGCAGCGCGATGCAAAGAGCCATAACTGGAAGGCCATTCTCAGCCATGAACCCAAATTGCAGCATCTTCGATTCTGAACGCTGCTCATCAACAAACACATGAGGGTGCAGTTCAACCAACAAACAGCCCAACAGCTTTGACCACCCGAGGTTTGAGGCTCCTAAATTGTCTCCTTGACAAACTCTTGAGGTGCAGTGCAGTTCAACCAACCAACAGCCGAATAGCTTTGACCACCCGAGGCATAGATGCACGGTCCGACTCCTTCGCACACTCTTCTGTGCAGACGGCCATGTCCTTGTTGGCTTGGCAAAATGGCGATTATCCTGGGTGCCCTAAAAGCGTGGGCGTATGAGACCAACCTGGGTTGACCAACCAGCTTTGACCACCCGAGAAAAACATTCTCGGACAGTCTCTTTTGCGCGGCCTTCTGTGCAGTGGTCTGACAAATTGGCCCTTGTCTCGGGTGCCCTCTGTGAGGCTATTACCTCAACACCCTCAAACAGTGGGCTTTATGAGACCAACCCTTGTTGACTTGCATGAGGATGCTGGGACCCCATGTTACCTGGCAGTTGGAGAAAGATGAAGAGAAGGAGGAGAGAACGGGAAAGAGTGGGGATGATCGGGAACTGACACTGGAGATAGCGCGTAGATGGATAGGTGAAGGCAATGAAGTGTATAACTAAGCCTTGGATGGCATGTGTGGCTATGGGCGGAGTAATACCGTCATCACCCGGATATAAGACAGTGTTGAATAGTAGACAGGGGTTGTCTATTATACGGGTGTCTCTTATAAACGGGGTAGCCTCATTATAAGACACCTATTTGTGTGTAGGGGCAAATGGCAAATGCATAACGAGGAAGTATCTTCTAAACGGATTTTTGTCCATTTATAAGACTGATTTTTTTAATGTATGAGATAAGACATACATGTCTTATATCCGGGCGATGACGGTAGGCATGATCGTTGAAAGATTGTGATATGCAACTCACTTGAGAGAAGATGGAGCCATCTCCACATGGGAGGCTTAGAATGTCCTCGTGAGGCGACGCGATGGGTGTTCTTCACATCAGAAGATGCGTTACGTGTAGTATCTTTATTGACGCCTGTAGACGTCTGATTATGGGATGACTTGGAGGTTGATGCATCAGTCCTTGCCGAGTTACCCAGGGAGACAGGCTCGGAAACAACAACGCGTACATCTGCAGGCTGGGAACTGGCCCCACCAAAACTTCCAGAAAGATCCCGACGTGCGCTGACGGATTTCGTCCTCCTTGACGAAGGTCTGGTTGCTGGTTCGGATCGAGCGCTGGAAGATGACTGAGTGTCCTCAAGCGTGCGGTCGTGCGAAGAGCTGCGTTTCGCGGACGAGTAAGGGTTGACTGGCGACAGAATCCAGCGTGCGACAGCCATCGAACGGTCGAAATGTCTGGGCCTTATTGGCGTCTCCAATCGCAACGAACCCGGCTGCGACATCACCTCGTCCTCATGTTGAATCTTGTCGCGGCGCTTGCCGTTACAGTCGCTCCCAGTTTGATGCTCCTCCGCTGTTTGCTGCGCATTTTCTGACGGTCGCAAATCCAATTTCCGTTCAGACACTTCTACTGCCGACGACAACTCCGTTACAGCAACTCCCTTGCAACCAGATTTAGTCCAGTCACCCTCACGCACCCTCTCGTTAGTGTCACATGAGTGATCACCCTTAGTTGCGCATCGTCCGCTATTGTCACGAAAACAATCGCTTGATAAGCACGCGACGTGAGGAGATTTTCCAGCTTCTGTAACTGGAGGATCAGCTTCAACGTCGTCGTTTGACGCTTCGAACGCGAGAGACCGAACGAGGCTGTCAAGAAACGGAGATTCGAAGGGGCACGTGGCAGTCGCGCTGCGTTGCCCAAATAGCCGGGCGTTTGCTGGAGGATTCAAAGGTTGAGATAGCGTCTTTCGGAGCTTTTCCTCCCGCCGCTGTTTCGCCAGAGCATCCGCCGGAATCATGCGCGCGCAGCCGCAGGGGCACAATCCCGCATTGTTCTTCCCCTTCTTTCCGCGCCCGCCTTTCCTCCTCCGCCTTTCGCGGCTGCCGCTTCCGCCGTCCGCTCCCCGGACGCCGTCGTCACCAGCGCCCGCCACGGCCGCAGACACGGCCTTGCGCCTTCGAATACCGCGGCTTTCGCTGGTGGCGCCATCGTCGTCGGATCCCGCGCATCGTGCGCTTTGTGCGGTCGTAATTGGGCTCAAACTTCGAGTTGAACTCGCGGCGCATTCGCCGCTGCCGTCGCTGCTGCTTCCGCGCGAGTGTCCAAACGGGTTTGAATCAGCAACAAGACGCTCTAGTTGAAACGCAAGCTCCTTAGCGCGTACAGCCCCCGCTTCCGCACGCACCGGCCCCTGTTCTTCCGCGGATGCCGCCCGCTCGCCGCGCACAAGCTGCGCTCGGCGAAACGCCGCCGCGGCGCTGCGTGATACGGTCTTGTCGGAGTCGGAGGGGAGCAGATTTTGCGGAAGGTGCGACGATGCTTGAGGCCGCGGCCGCGGCAAGACTTCACTCAACTGATTGGCGCAACGCTGTAGGCGCGAAGATTGATCTGCCATGGTACTAGCAGTGGGTCCTTACTAGCAGTATGTGTCAGTCGAACGATTTTGGGAAACCGGCGAACGAGGAGGATTCGGAACCGCCAGCGTGAGCCACAAGCCCTCCGGATTTGAACAGGCGCCTATTCGTAAAGAGATTTCTAACCCTAGTAAGCTCGAAAAGAGTTCAAGCTTGGAAATCAAAACGCGCTCGCGAATCGTAGTAGTAGTATTAAACAATCCTTCTGCGATCAGCGGAATGGGAAGTGCTCAGGATAAAGGACGACCTTTAGGCACGCGACAAACAATTTAGCACTCTTGAGCGACTTTCTCTAACGAATGTAAAAACAGCGATTGCGATGGGAAGGTTAGGAAACCCCATTCTGGCCGAGCGAGCTCGCTAAATCTGCAGATCAGGCAAGTGGCAAGCGCCAGCGGGGCAGACGGCCGGCAGGAATGGATGTTTGTGGGGTGCTGCTGCTGCTGCTGCTGCTAGCATCGGTAGTTACCCGCTACCATCACAACTGAGCGCGGATGTGCGGGATCTAACAAGAGGTTGCTACTACGAATCGTAAGAACTGGATTTGAAGCTAGCGGCGTGATGAAACTAGACTTGTAAGGGCGAGCGGAGGCTGCGACGCCATGGTGTTCGTTCAAGTCCCTTGGAGGTGACGGGGGGCTTGGGGGTGCCTGACTAAAACACGCGGGGTGGCGAAGGGGGTGCTAGCTTTCTTTCTTCTTGCTTGCTTGCTTGCGCGGTTTATATTCCGTGTTCCATACATTTTAGAATCGCGTCGCGTCATCGTTCCATTATATTCGTGCTTGCCAAAAGTCGTCACCAGTTATTCTAGGAAAAAGAACGTCAACTCTGTATCTAGTACGTTTCTGACTACTGTTGCTAGCAGCCAGAAAAGACTCATCTGACTCATCGGATAAATAATGGAGGTGGAGACAGGCATCACACGCACCGTGTGGCCAGAACTGGGTTGCATGATCGCATCGCATCGCATCGCTCGCAACGCACGCGCTCATTCACATACGATACGAGGAAAAGGGCCGCCGTGGTGACCTCATCTCATCACCATCCCCGCAGTGCAGTTGTGCTGGGTGGAGATCATGCCTGTCGATTCACGGACATTTGTCCGTTTCCCCTGAGAATTCAGGGTTAGTTTTAGCTCAGCTCGGAGATTTTCAGGACTGGTTTTTTTCCCCAGCCCGGATTTCTAACGGACAGATTTTGGGGCTCCCCGGATTTCCGTACCTGCCACCCCCCTTCCCCTCCCCCCCTCTCTTCCTCACCTTAGACCGCGAACTTGTTCCTCTCCCACTCCTCCCAACAACACAAGCCCCCCACGTTCCACTAACGTATGCTGCTCTTTAGTCTATGTATAGCTCGATAACTTAGCTTTATTACGCATGCATTCTCAGAGCCGGAAATATGAATGCCCTGATTTTACGACCGCTTCCCGGATAGCTCAGGGTTGTTTTCGAGACAGCTCAACTTCTTACGGAAATATGCCCTGGTGGAGATATGCTTCCGTTCCGATAAAAAGTCGCACAGGGGGACGGATTGAATGGTTCCGTAGTCCCCGGCAGGCCGAGTCGAGTCGTCTGCGTGAGTGTGGCAGT